CGTGTAGACACTTGTTTGCAAGTCATGGTGTTGTTTTTTTATATATTCTCATTCTTAAATTGATTGTCTATGAGCTATTATTAATCTTACCTTGTTGGTCCATGCGTATTGTTCCAATTTTAGAAACTACGTGCGTAAAATAGTCCTTCTAAAATACATTTGATCACGATGTACAGCATCAATTATCGGTATGTATGAGAAATAGAACGCAAAACCATGTCCGAATATTTAGTGAAAAATCACGGAGGACGAGCAACCACCTAAATTGTGTGTTATGTGTGCACACTGATGGTGAATGGGGCGACGAGGAATTGCGACAGCGAACGTTGGGGTGAAGATGACCCGCATTGAATGATAAGCGAACTGTTATTAAAAGGTAGATGATGAAGAATCGACGAAATTCTTGAAGTGAGAAGGTTTGCTTTTAATGAGTTAGAAAATACGTTTTTTTGTACTAATTAATAATATTAGTTTCAGATATTTAAAAGGTGCGGTTAAGGAAAGCCCTAATGGCGTTGTTGACGTTAGTTGGATTGATAAGGGACAGGCATTCGTGGTTGGACAAGAGGCTAATCGTCGTAATGACAAATGGGCGATCGTATTCAAAACAGTGATGTCGTGGTGAGAAGGTAGTAGGCGTTGGTTGAGCAAAGGGGACAACGGTTCGGTTGTGTGACACGAGTGACGTTTAGTTGTTGAGGCGACGTCTTGCTGAAAGGGGGTTAACGTCCTTGTTGATACCGGTTGTGGTTGGGACTGATGAATTAACCACGCGACGACCATTTCCTCTGTCATAACGGCAAACTGACGGAACTTTAGGTACATTACAATATATGCAGAGGGTGTTAATAACGACAAACTGACAAAATTGTCATTATTAACCCCTGATATATGTTATATGCCTAGCATAGCTTTTCAAATTTTTTCCTCGAAAAAATGTTGTACTACTACTTATTTACTCGCTATGTTTGATGCTCATGTTTGTTATATATATATATATATATATATTAGAACCTCTGTAATATTCAGCACGGGAAAAGATTTGGAAGAGGAACAGAAAATCTTCGATCCTCTTGCAGATACCGATTCTGAAGATGAAAGTAAGCGGCATTATGATACGTTAACAAGTGGGCTTTTCTTAAAACTAGCTTGCCATCGAGAAAGAATAAATCATCGCAGAGTTGCGTCGCTGCGCCGAGAATCACATTATTAGTCAATGCAGGGGCGGATTTAAGAGGGTGTCCGGGGGGTCCGGACCCCTTTAATTTCAAGTGGTGATGCCTTAAAAATTCACATTTTTTTTAGTGCTTAGTTTGTGCTGATAAAGATTTATTAGTATATAATTTATATATAATATATAATATATATATTATATATAAGTTCGTTGATAAATAACCGGTTAAATGGGCAAAAGAGGGGTCTCAGCGGGGCCCGCGGGGGCGGATGTGGATACATTTTTGTTTTCTTTTCAACCGATTTTTTGTTCTAGGTTGCGATCAGAGGTGAATTTTCACTGATTAGGGATGAGCTTAAAAGATACATTTTTGCCTAAAAATGTGGAATTCCTATCTTGGATTCTAGACATCAAAAATTACTGCTCAGATGCCCTCAGAATAGACCAATTTTTTTTCAATTTGGGGGAGGTCCCCCTCCCCTAAGTGCCTTCGGCAGCCTTTTAAAACACCACAAAAATTAAGCAGGAAAAAGTGCCCTTTATTTCTTCTTGGACACCCTCTTTAAAAATCATGGATCCGTCCCTGCAATACTCCATGATGACAAAATGTATTGATAGTATAGAATATAACGTGCTTGTAATTAATAGGTATAACAGATAAACAGAATGCGTATCTGACGCGAGTGGGCCGAAAAGACATATGTGGAATGCGTGTGAGATGCTAGGGGTAGTACCGGTGTTCATTACTTATGCGTTCACTTGAGATGAAGTGGTGAACCTACAGCACCACGGGACTCGGGTAGAGGTATAGGCTAGCTTCTATTGATAATTTGGCCTGTCTGTCTATGCTTACTGTGGAGCTCCGTTGATGTTACAAGCATCGACATAGTGGCTTCGTTTATACTGCTTTAGCATCGTTGTAGGGGATTTGCGTTCGTTATGTTAGAGGGCCCGTAATACCGCCGCAGTTTCATGGTTTCAAAGTGCCCTGTCTCGCGCTCTTTGCAATTGGCATTGCTTACCGGATGCCGAGGACCTATGCCTCCATAGCTGCTAGATGCGCGAAAGCCTGCTCTGGCTTCATTGTAACACACAACGTGCGGTGCCGGGGATTTGACGATACCGGTAATTAACCCGAATGTGGGTAACGTCCTTCATATTTGATATAAAGTTACTATCAAGGTCTAATTTAATTCCATATATAAGTGAAGATTCCAGAAACTAAAGATCCGCGCGCAGTGCCTTTCGCAGTTGAATATACGCGTACCTATTTGATGAGGCAGTTCTCACTTTAGTAAGCTGTTGTGGGTCTTTATCCATAATTTGATTCCTCGCTACCCGCCACTCTTAATTCGAAGTTGCTAGATGAAATGTATGCCGTAACTGTGCTTTTTCTTTATCTGCATGATAGGGTACACAAATTTCATTAGTTTTTTTTTTTTTCCGCTTGTCCTAAACCTCCGACGCAATTGGTTAGGTGAGTTTAATGCTCAAAGGAGAACTGCTATAGGCCGATTTGGTATGAAGATTTTGGTCTTGATATATATAATCGAAAGTGATGGTAGTACCCGTGAGCCCTGTGACGGCAGATAATCAATCCGATGCCAAGTATAATGGAGCGGTAAATAGGATACAACTGGCATTGTTACGCACTACATATGATTACAGGTCTGGCGGACAACCGATCTGCGCAGTAAGGGAGCCCAAGGCCATCGCTGAAATGTTGTGATCAATACTACCGTGAAGAAACTAAATTTCTTGCCGGTTAAGAATACATTAAAAATGGGAATTATACTGACAAGTAACTTTACCTACGTACTTTAGCACGGGGAGTTATACACTGTACACACTGAATTTGCCGCTCGCGCGCGCGCGCGAGCGTGTGTGTGTGTGTGTGTGTGTGTGTGTGTGTGTGTGTGTGTGTGTGTGTGTGTGTGCGTGTGCGCGCGCCTTAGTAGATGTCTTTCTGACTGCGTTAAGATGATGCAAATTTGATTCAGGTAATATGCTTCAAGACAAAGACGCCGAATGCCTATCACAAGCTATACTGGCAAGTGCATTATAAAGAAAATTATCACCACTAGATACGAATATTCCATTTCTAATCATAGTGATGGAGCCATATGCTTCGTGGAACTTTTGCTGTCTTTCTAATATCACGTGCAATTGCTCCCACAAACTATTATTGCAAAAATGACGCAATGTTCTCCGTTTACAGGAAAACCGGCAATTGCAACATCTGGATTTGAGTAGAAACGAATTCAGCGAGGAAGGAGGAGTCTTGCTAGGCGCGGCCATTGGTGAACTGCCTCTACCTATACTTCCTCTATGTTTACTAGTAGTATTGTGATTTTCAAACGTTTGTCTAGCTGTCGTAGAGATTAGTTGCTGTCGCTTTATTGTTCTAGTTACTAAACATATCACCAGGAGTGAATAATAATTGATTATAATCATAATCATAATAATAATAGATCTATTATTATTCACTCTTGATATCACCTTACACAGGAGAAAACGAAACGTTAGAATACATCAACCTTAGCTGGAACCATTTCCGTCGTAAGGGAGCCTTGGCGATTTGCGAAGGAATAAAGGTTGGATATTCATCTACAGCTATTAAAGGCTCACAATGCGCATCCAAACGCTAATTTATCCAGTACTAGACTAGCAAATACTTCGTGTCATGCATAATCACACTACCTTATGACAAAATAAACTCTCGCGCAAATTTTCAGTGCCATATTTTTTAACGATAATGTCATATGATTATGGTATGAAAAGATAAACCTAAAACATCCCCAGTTCTCTATATTATATACCGTTGTGGATGATTGAGGTGGGCACCTTCTTGCCTTATTACGAGAAGAGGTATTGTGAGTACCACTCAGAATACGTTGACAGATGAAATGTGCACAACGCGTCGTTTAACAGCAAGGACTTTCAACGTGATCTCTCTTTGACAAACAATCGCAGGGAAATACGCTCCTAAAAGAAGCCAATTTGTCGATGAACGGTTTTGGAGCAGAGTCGTCGAAAGCTGTCGCTGAGATCATCCGGGTCAACGGTACATTACGTCATCTAGACGTGAGCAACAATCGTTTGCCAGCCGATGGCATGGGCGCCATCGCAAAGGCGCTGGATGAAAATGAAATCCTCAAAGTGCTGAAGGTAGTAAGAAACAAAAAAATTCTCAACAAAATAAAGAATGTTGACGGCTTCGTCGGACAAGAAAGAACAGTAATAGTGGGCTGATTATTGATATTATCGTAGTCTCCACGATATGGCAATATTAGGCTTAGTGGTATATTTTTGGTAACGTACTTTCGAATAATAATCAATAGTCATAGAAATTCAGTTGAAATAACATTTCGCACTATGATTATGCTCAAGAAGCGGTCGCACAAATGCACCTACCCGTCAAATTAACATGGAGTATAACTAGCACATAGTAGGTCTACCGAGAGCCTATTAACTATTACATAAGTGCACTGGACTTGAATGAATGTGTGAGATATATTATGGATTATAAAACACACATACACACACGCGCGCACACACGCACGCACGCACGCACGCACGCACGCACACACACACACACACACACACACACACACACACACACAATAGATATATATTATCGTTCCAGATTGGGCACAACCCGCTTCTCGACAAGGCGCCTGTTGTTACTGAGGCTGTAAAGACGAGGGCGTAGGCGTATGTGGAAACGCTCGATCTGTGTCCGTAGTATTGGACGATATCAGGATAGATGTTAATAGAAGAGCTCTTCTATTATAGTCCTTCTATTATCTAGCTGCTGATAGAAGACGGTCTGTCATACTCCTTTCTTGATTATCATAGCTCCTGGACGATATGTATGACGATATAACAAAAGTCGTTAACATATATTATAAATAACGAACTTTATATTACTGTCCATAAGTTTGAATAACATCACGGTAAGAGTTTGTTGACTTGTCGTTAATCTGAATACAATATGTCTATATCTTATCAGGAGTCTATCATAGATGCAGATCATCCAATATTGATAGATCGCTGTTATATTAGCGCGCATATATATTAACTGATCCTACAGGATGTGCGTGTGAGACAAGGAGTTCGAAGGCGCTGCAGGCAGAATAAAGAGAGAGAACACCTTACAATACAAAACGCAGGCGGTGTTGCTTGGGAACTATGTTATAAAAGGGCGCCTCAAAGAAGGGTACTATCATACATGACGCTCGTGTTCGGTAAACGTATCGCTCACGTATTACAGATTACGCAGATATAGAAGGCAGAAAACTAATAGATTTATATTCGTCGTCCGCACACGTCAACTGTTGGGCTCAACTAAATACACATGCATCACCGTTAGTTGATTGAGATTTAATCATGTAACCGTTAAATCATTAAATCTAAATAATTAAATTTTAAATTAAATTAAATAAATAAACATTAATATAGTTATTATACCGCAAACAATAGACAGGCGGGTGTAATTTCGTGGATTCTTAGATTGGAATTGAGGTCGCCCACTATATGGTTGGATGTCTGGAGCTGAAGGCTTAGCGAATCATCGGCACATCTTGGGCCCAGCAGTACTACAAGAGCCAAACGACGGGGGCATCGAACGTTACCGCGGCTATGACTGTCATTCAGGTGACTCACAAAGGCGCGCCTGCTTGCGTTGTTGGCTAGGGCTTAGATACAAATATCCGGATATTTTTTTAGATATTTAGAAGTTTTCGGGATATTCAGAAAAATCTGGATATTTAGAAAATTCCTTTAATATTTAGGGATAAACCAATTTTCTCAAATATTAAGGATTTGCAAGGATGAGTTTGTCTTTTTCTGTTAAGAAAAACCATCCAGTGGTGCAAACTGTTTTCAAAATAACACAAAATAAATATGTTTAAAAGACATTATGTTGAAATAATTGAGATATTTAGAGACACACTCCCAGTCGCCCCGTGCTTGATATAGCGCCGCGGGATAGTTCCGTTTATGGGCGTGCGCGAAAAAAATTGGGAATATTTAGAAAAAAAATTGAGATATTTAGAGATTTTTTGGAGAATTTCCGGCAAGATATTTAGGCCATTTTTCGAGATATTTGTATCTAAGCCTACGTGTTGCCGACATTAGTGGGGGAGGTGTCCATAGTATCAAGAGCTAATAATAGGTAATATCAAGAATCCATAATAGAAGACTATCTAGAAGACTTTCTATTATGAAGTCTTGGTATTATCAAAGAACCTATATAGGCTCTTTGGTATTATCAAGAGTCCATAATAGAAAATTCCTACCGGTGTTATTATCTACTCTTGATAGTATAAAGAATAGGGCGCTGGGTATACATTCACATCAACCATACGTGACGTGGAAGAAATGGTACTTGATGAAAGTTGTAACGAGCCAGACATAAACTTGTGTCGATGTTTTGTGATATAATAAGGGGCCGCACACTAAAAAACCAAGTTCTGACACATGCCATCCCACCAAATATGAAAAACCCAAGATTTTATTTTGTACACGCAGATGGGAAGATACGAGGGCGGTGATGGAAATGTGTACGGGCTGTACAGCTGTTATATTGTTCATCGTGAATAGCTATGATTTCGAGGGGAGTGGTGTGGATTTATTTACTGCAGACCTAATACGGTAAAAACTGTAATCGCATTCACCTTACAGGGTCTCGTGAATAGTGCGACAGAGGAACAGTTTAACATGCTTCAAGAACAGTTCGATAGCAATGCCGTCACAACAGTCGTGCTCGCACAAGCTACCTGCTAATGGGTGCATCTATCCATCTGAAAGGATTCTACATGGATCCACACACAGCGCTATACTGGACTGCATCAAATTCTATAGAATCACTGACACAATAATACGCAGAAAACGAGTGAGATAGACAGTGATTAAAATAATTAATTAGTCACACTTTAGTACTGTAGGCATCACATCTACACATTGTTCCATGTAATCTCCACTAAATGGCTAAAGATGAAGAAAACATTAAAGACAATATAATAATTGAGACCGACTATATAAGTGTTTTTAGAAGGAAAACGTTTATTTTACAAAACAGATTACATCACAATGCTACAGGAAGCATTCCTATACTTCTGAATATGTTGAAATGAATTTGATATAAATTAATGAACATATACAACGTTGATGACATAATCGGTGCTGATAATTTTCTGGAAATTCGTGTAACCTAAGAAAATATGTATTTTTTCTGTAAAGCAATAGAATGCAGTCAGTGTGCTACAGGAGACACATAGAAGATTCATAATTGCATTAATAGTTAGTTTTGAAATACCCTTACTCATCAGATGAATAAAATCCTGATATATATTACAATTTCACCAAATATTCAACGTTATGGAATATTGCTGTGTTGCAGAAACAATTGCTGATATTTTCATACGTAATTTGAATATATACGACCAAGTTTTGAAATACCGATTGTGGCATTGCAAATATCGCGCATGCCTTTTTATCAGAGCACACGATTAAATTGATTGACATATTGATACATATCAATATATTTAGTGAGGTGAAAGATGAGTGTCGTCAAAAAGTCAAAAGAATATTAATATACTATGAGCCATTCACATACTTATCACGAGCACATGAATCTACACGAGCACATATGCTAGCTCAGGCGGGATTGTTTGCATTTTATTCACACATTAATTCAATCGCTCATAAGGTCTATGTCCCCCAGGGTACTGCCGGAACGTACCCTGGTAACTATCTGATATGGTTAGGGTTAGGGAGTAGGCGTAAGCGACTCCTTAGACTCGTTAATGGAGTAGGCGAGGTACGGTCCGGCATATTAGATATAGTACCAGGGTACGTTCCGGTATACCGGACCGTACCCAAGGTACATTCCGGCAGTAACCTGGGGGACATAGACCCTCTCAGCCATACTATCACGAGTACCATAATATGAGGAGTGAATAATAGAGATCTATTATTCTCTATTATTCACTCCTGATAATATAAACACTCTATATGATGACACTCCTGATACTATCATGAGTACATAATAAAAACGAATTTTTTATATATCATATACTCTTGCTAGCATCAAGCCATGCATCAACATGTGAAATAAAATGAACTTATTATAGCTGCTACGACCACCAGACAAGCTTGGATTACCACCACGTGTATATCAGGCATATTACACAGCATCTTATACGTATTATCAAGAGTAGATAATAACATGTGTTATTATCTACTCTTGGTATTATGTCTGCCTTTATCTTGTTCTCAGAAGTGCAGTAAGATGGAGAGGATCAAATAAATGACAGCAACTAAAAGCGATATGTACTAACAAAATACGAAAGGTCTGAAACACTATAAAATTCTTGTACCGTAATTGGTTAAATTACTGCAATCTGCAGCTACAACTGACTATATGATTTCTATAGACGACAAAAACACGCGTAACTACTCACACAGACGCATAGATTACATCACGAGTCCATAATAGAATCTATTAATTATGGACGCTTGATTACATGGTAATAGAAATACGACCAAATACATAAAAAAGACATAGGAGAGTTAAAAGGATAATATAGGAAAAAAATCATAAAAATGCAAGTAGAAATGATATCTAAAAACTAGACAATGACACCAATAACATTACAAACAAATACAGCCATGTCTAACGTTTCAAGCAGCTGGTAGTCCAACACGCAGTGATCATGCTTTGTTTCACCCCCGGAAAATTAAATAAAACAAAAAGGAAACACCACCTATATTGAAATTTGGCGTACCCATTGTTTTGAAAAGTGCCATGCACATTTATCCTAGTATTCCCTTTTCTTCCATACAGCGGTATGAATTAGTACTTTGAACCAATTACAGAGCCCAAATCGATCGCAATGACAATGATTGAAGTCACTTGTAAAAACTCAATTTTAAACTTCTCATGTGACGCTGGATATCGACAGCGATTAAGGAAACAAAGATATACCTTTGTTTTATTTCATATTTCGGTGCCCGATCAGATTACAAAACATGCTCACAATGCATGAGAGACAGGCTGTCCAATTTGCACTATAACATTTTGAGAATTGTACGCTCATTGCTGATAGTGCACGAGTGATTGCTTCTCTATATTTACACAACCCCCACTCACCCTTCCCAGTTATACCCTCTTTAGTTGCCCAGTTCCCCCATCTCATATATACATCAGATATTGATCATAATTGATTAAATATTTAAGGAAATAATCATGCAAGCACCCCAATCTTTACACATATATACCACAGCAACAGTCTGTTCCACAACATATCGAGAAGTAACACTGCAGGGTTCTTACCGTAGCTAAAATCTACTAAACACGTGCTATACTTCATCCATGTCAGTATCAGAAGCTGCTACATGCACTTAAAATTGCCAGTCAGATACACCAATAGTGACCGTCGAATAAAAGCATCACCAGAACACGTAATTTCTTATAACTTACTCACCTGCACACTTACAAAGAACTTATAAGACCAAGCTGGCATATGGAAAATGCGGGAATACTAAAAATGGCTAGCAAAAGTTAACATGATGCCAAAAATAAAAGTAATAAAAATTGTCCTTTTGAATATGTAAATTTGACAAATGATTATATCGCAAGAGTTGGCCATGTGACTTGTATACAGAGATGGATCAGTGGTTAGCAGTGCACTAAGCTGACTTCCTATATCTGAGATATAAATTATTATGTCAATTATAACTATAGCTACAGATACATCGGAATTTAAAAAAAAAAGACACTATGATTTAATGTCTCAAATTGCATCTATTTCGACCAATTAGGAGTCTAGGACTTCTCTTTTTGATCTCATTAAAACAACATAATTTGGTGAGGTATCCAATTCACCTAGGGTACAAAATTAACAGTCTTTATCTAGCGTTTCAAAAATAATATAAACTGATAAATGATCACTTAAAAGCAGCTCTTGCAGCACTAAATCTTCATGCATCATTGAATTGTCGAAGTTTTTGCAGGCCTACAGCTGTACAAACCCCTCCACCATGAGCTTTATGTAGAAGCTAAAAAGCATTCGACAATACTAGCTGCTTTTAGCAGCAACACTACCCAGGAGAAAATATTCAAACATACTTGGGTCATAGTTTCAAATACGTCACGTAGACATTTGCGTGAATACAATCACCAAGAATTTGTGATGCCTAATTAACTAATCACCTACACTATCTATTCAGATGGAAACGTCACTAGTGACAGAGATATTTGTAAAACTATCAAGTGACTTCCCTGGTGATACTCTCGGGTTTTCGATAGTTACTCATTCGTAACAAATCTCTTTGGTCACAATCACACACTAGTGTTTACAGGCCAGCACTACAGAGTTCCTCAATCCCCTATGTAGAAGCACTCACAGCTCATGAAGCTAATGCCAACACATCCAAGAATGGTATCTTGGCTACTTCAAAGAATACTCTGGAAAAATAAAACAGGGGGGTATTACTTATTTGACATTATGAGGAGTCAGCCATGGCAAACGAGGTCATAACTAAATCCTACATGATTGCAAAGGTAGCTTGATGACACATCTTTCAAGTTGCAAATATGCAGTATATATCGAATGCTACCCAGGGCCTAATCCAAGACATTTTTAATACCGAATACTGACGCCCAAATTACGACCCCTAGCAAAGCGCCCAAATTAGCAGAGCTCTGAAAATTGTGAAAATTAAATCTCCATGTTTCTATCGTTATGTAGGCAATGTTTTATAATAAAATGCTCATATATAAGATCTATAATCTATTATCTGAATAAAATGTGTCGACCAAATGCCCAATTTAGTGTGATAGATAAGTATATATATTTCGGCTGGCTGTGCTCGCCAACGGTTCCAGATTTTTTTTTACACTCGCCATGGGTGCCCATATTAAGCAGATAGATTAGTCCCTGTTACCTATAACGAAATCGCATCACATTATGAATTATGTAAAGTAACCATGCAGGTGGCACATGATTCATGACATGAATTAGCAGAGGTTTCAGTCACGGGACAATCACTGGACGAATTAGCTTCGAAAGGAGTATACCCAGCAGGATGTCAGTGTGCATTTCATGTACGTTTGTTACATTTGGACCAGGTCCACTCACTTGTGGGAGTACTTGGTCTTGATGGTCTTCAGAGATTTGGTGGAGACAGAGGGACTGCTGAGCATGCTGTTCAGATGCCTTGCTAACGACATCAGGTCGGACTCAGAGTATCCGGAGTAGTACTCCATTGTGACGCCCTGCAAATATAAACACAAGATATCATCAGATTTGTTAGTGATGTGGTTTCAAGTGTCTCCCCTTTTCCATATTTCCTGCTGTCTGACTTCTACTGAGTATTCGGTGGCTAAATTCAATAATTACATGAGATCTCTTGTATATACAGTGTAGACCCATTACAACGCGATGGTTGGGGTCCATAAAATGTCATCGCGAAAAACGCGGGGTTGTGCTAAATCGGGGTTATATATACGTGGATATATAAGAGCAAAACAGGAGGATCCAACAACTCATCGCGTTATATCCGAATTCGGATAGCGATTTCGATTCCTAATTCGGATTCCGAAATCGGGGAGCATAACATCAGGCTTCCACTGTAGTGTCACAACAAGTGGACTACAGTCAAACCTCGGTTATCCGAACATCAATTATCCGAATTTCAGATTACCCGAGCAAGATCTCAAGGTCCCGTAAATATTTAACGGTAATAGGATCAGATCAGTTATCCAAACAAAATAATCCCCGCCTGTCTCGTTCGGATAATCGAGGTTTAACTGTATCTGGAAGGTGAATTCTTACCCAGTGATTGACACTTTTCATTTGCATGGCCAGTAGCAAGCATGCTGCACCCAACTTGCTGTCACTACAATCCACAAACTCATAGTCTTGCAAAGATAGTTCACAGATATACCGAGCTAGAGTGAGTAGCTCCATGTTCGCCTTGGCACACTAGAACAAAGAAAGCTTAGACATGAACAATTTTAACAATAAGTCTAAATATAATGCAACCCCTGACCACTGAACAAAAGCAAAAGTGTCAACTCCATTTAAGGCAGCAATCCACCTACATCCATCAATGTATCTAATTTAGGCAAATATATTCTATGCGGGAACGTGCATAAAAATATTTTGATCAGATAGACTCGACACAGAAGCTGCCTTGTTAAAGCCATGCATTCCTATGTTGGCATCTGAAAAGAGTGGCGTGCTAGCTCAGGTGTGAAGTAATATTTATAGAGTGACTCGACTTCTCTGCATAGACATCTAGGAGTATACAGGGGTAGAAATGAACATTTGAACAAGGGAGTCCAACGGACTCCCTACCCTCAAAAAGAGGAGTCTGCAGTCTGAGGTTCAAAATTAAAGATATTAACAATAACGCATGTGCTTCATATTTTTAAGATTCATGCAGTTGCACATCTGCCGAATTTTCTTTGGACATTAGCTAAAAAAATACAGAAATTCCGCGAGGCCATGCTCCGGAACGAACTAGTTAGTATGGCAGAATTTTCAGGGAGTCACACGGACTACTGCATATATGTCAAATCAGGGAGTCCGACAGTAAATCAGGAAGTATTTGACTCCGGACTCCCGTTAATTTCGCACCCTGAGTATATGTGTATACAAACATTTATGAGAGGTTTTCATTCCCGTCAGTGGCTTAAATAGTTGAATTTTGATGCTTGGAAAATATAAATAAATATATAATTACATCAATAAACTCTGTTAGCTTACTTTTGCATATCGTCGCAGGAACCTGTATGAGCTTGGCGTGCCTAAATCAAAATCTAGTGCTTTCAGGATCATCTGCTCCATCTTAATCAACTCTTCCTTGTTGTATGCATCATCACAGATGTACAGAAAGTCATCCGACAAAGGTGGGCATCTTTCCTATTAAGACCACAATAAGAAGTGAATTTTGAATCGCAGTATAGCCCTAAAGTATATGCATGAGCATCATTGAAAGAAATTAGTTAAGGATTTTGTCATTTGCATTGACATATTTTTCAATAGATGCAATGCCAAATTGGACGGTAATCCATCTACCACTTCAAAATAAAAATAAATACGCATATATAAAGTTAATAGGAAATTTGCATATTATTTCAAATGTATCTTACGTCAAATTTACATGCGATAAAGATCGCTGTAGACCCAACGAGCTGTAGCTTTTCCTTTGAGATTGTCACTCTTGACAGATAAAGGTCAATGATCTTGACAGCCAGGTACAGCGTTTCATGGTTCAGCTCAAAGTTTTCCTAAAATAGTATAAAAATCATCATGCATGTTACATAATATATTGATTGAGGATATAAATATTACTGCTAGGCAATTAATAACCATTCTATGACATAAACTAAAACAGGTTCATATAATAATAACAAAATACTAGTCAAACGTGCTAGCAAATAATGTCAACTGTCTATAACAGACACTTTTATGGCTTATTCACTTGAGCAACCCTTGTATAAAGGTTTCACTGTAGTACATCTAAATACTGTATCTTAGAGAATAGAGACAATAATCATGCGATAGCTATCACCAATTTATTACTGAACTTGAGTAGTTTAACATCTATTGTCTTATTTAGACAACAACCCTTTTATTCAATTAACAAAAATTCACAGAATGAATTTAAAATGATTTAAAGCCTTATATTGGACCAATGAGCAGATAGCAATCAATCCCTTGATCACTATGGATTTCGTTTATTGTTTTAGAGTTTCAGTATTATGATAACTATATTCGGGTAAGGGGAGGTTATGATTATAGAAGAACAATCGAAGATTGTGTTTTATTTGTAGCTACAGATATAAAACGTAGTGTTCACATACCTGAACTTCGACTAACCAGTCAACCAGGATTGCTCTCATAGATGCACTAATCTCCACCTGTGTGTCCAAATACTTACCGACAGCAAACTTTGCCTGCACACACACATAACAGTAGTAGTCAGATAGTATAGCATATTGCAGACAATTACTACACCACTATAGCACATGTTACAAACCAATCTATACTAATGTGATAATATATTATAACATGTAATTTGTAAACATGCTGCAGTCACTGCCGAAGTGTAATACTGGGAAAATTTATCTCACAAGAAAACTATAAGTAAAAGGTATAGGTATCAATAAGTTGACACTGGCATTTACTACATGTATCAGGTAATATACTGACCTCCCTTGATTTGTAGTACAGAAAAATATCATATGCATAATCAGGAACATGAAAAATATCATTCTTGAATTCATCATCTACGTCATATTCTGGCTTTAAAGTGACCTGTCGTGAAGTATTGGGAAAAGTGATTGGTAGGTTATCAGCAGGAGTTATCAACATCTTATAGCAATTATACTGACAGCTAAATATAAAATAAGGTCACAAAAAAGTAATCATGCATGAGTTTTCTGCCACAAACGCGTGCTTATATGGGCCTGAACTTAACACCAAACTGTAATAGACAGCATCAGTATACAGCAAATACATCTGATAGATGAGGACATGGTAATTACGTGTACCTTTTCTGGCTGTGCTTCCTCGTTATCACTTTCCGCATCATTACTTAGGCACACGTTACTGGCTTTCTGTGCATCCTTCTCAGATTCTGAGGTACTGGTCTGACTGAGGCTAAAATTGACAATTTGTGAAATGCCTACAACTTCAAAACAATTATGACCAACAACTATTTCAGGATGTAAATAGGCAATCGAACTAAAATATTCATATTAACACCTTCCATGCCTCTCTCCCACCTCCCCCAGCAAAAAGCCAACACACATTGGCAACTAAAATATTTCATTGTCTTTAAAAAACGTATGGCAAGTTAAAAAATACTTAGACTGTAATAATATTAAGTTTAAAAATAAAGGTGGTACACTTTTAAATAATTGAAATTTGGTCTTTTACACTCAATGGATGGAAGTCTGAATACATGCAATATTTGTTCCACAACAGGTAATTGCGGATCTGACCATGTGTCCTTAATCCCATTCACCTACCGCAAGCACAACGAGTCTTCGAAGCTTTCGCGATGATCCTGGGAACTTGGGAGCTGTGAGCCTTGAGAACTTATGCACTCAGACAACTCCAGTGATGATTCACAGCTTGCATAAGTTTCTTCACTATTCCTACTCCTCGGCTTACCAGCACGCTCTGTCTTTGCCGGTTTCTTAACAATCAGCGTCTTTGTTGGTTTTTCAGATTTTTTCAAACCACCGGTGGTAGTTTTTTTCGTCAATGCCTAGAAACATTCAGAAAGGCAAACTTTATATATTAATATAGCTATAACGTATTGTAAAAACTGGTCTCACACAAACCTGTGGCAGCCCCATAATCACACATTTCTTTCTAGGAGTATAATGTTTGAAATAAATGTTAGACTATACATGCAGTTACTTCGGAGGCTCCTTGTTCTGAACAATGTAGACAGGCGTTTGATTCATACAATCATGCAGTGAATCATCTAATTAGCTGATCAATGCAGTCCTTGTGTTTTGGAAAAGGCAGGCGAGTGAAAAATCGCACACCTTGGCTCGCCGACGTGTGTGATTTGCATCGGAGTGCCCACAGGGCACGAGGCAAACTAGGGGGGTTCGGGGGCATACCCCCCAGAAAAAATTTGAAAACTAGACTTCATGAAATGCCATTTCCAGCATTTTGGGCTAAAAATTAGCTCTGCATTTGTACTATTAATTTTGACATTTTTTATGTGATTTTTTTTCATCTAACAAAATATCAGTTCTTGGACATGTGGATAACTTGAATCACACATTTAGCATGTTTAGTCAAAAAGGAACAACACTCAATTTTTCAAAGTAGACTATTAAAACTTTATCTAAAAATACAACCAATCACATTCGTCGTTCTAGAGCGCTTTGCGACTGTCGTTATAAACATGTGAACCAACTTCCGACAATATCTGTGATGTTTACAACCGTTTGCGTTTATCTTCGAGTTTATAAGTTGAATTAATAAAAAATAAAACACAGGAAAAAAAAGGTGTGCATTTTGATAATGCTTAGATGCGCGTTTTTTCGCACTTCTCGTGATCAATCAAGACGCACGAGCGCGATCGCGCAGCTTAAAACACAAGGTCTGTCAATGACGTTGTTGATGATGAAGAGGAGGGTAATATGATGTCAACTCGAATGTTCATTATAACAGCTAGACCTACAAAAGCATAATGTACATTGCTTGGTAGAGTTGGGCGTATGTAGTATATATGTCAGAAAATATACTTCCATGTAGCATTGAATTCAGTACAGTCCAACCTCCTTTATCCGGCCACGTCGGGACATGGGGATGGGGCCACGTCGGGACATGGGGATGGGGCCACGTCGGGACATGGGGATGGGGCCACGTCGGGACATGGGGATGGGGCCACGTCGGGACATGGGGATAGGGCCACGTCGGGACATGGAGATGGGGGATGGGGCCACGTCGGGACATGGGGACATCCGGATATGGGATTTGGCCGGATATGAGTTATGCTCAAACACAGCATTTCTATCCAGTTCAGTAGGGGTTATGCATGTGATAATGTATTTACTCGTTGCTACGATTGATTATTTGATACAAACTGTCGTGTTTTATGGTAAATAAAATATGAAATAGAAATAAAATGAAATAAAACATAAATTTTACCACTTCGGTTTATGTTTGTTTCTTTTGTGCTGAGATCTAGGGCTGTAACGATCAATACATTCGCGGCGTTGTATGCCTAGGGCTGTTACATGTGCGAGGCAGCGGCACCTTTGATTGAAGTACGGGGCTCGATCGATTGCGAGTGCGTATAGCGACGTAGCGCGTTTCGCTAACGTCCGCTGGTAAAAGTTGTTCGTTAACGGACGAAAGTTGTCCGGAGGCATAGTGGACAACACACACACGCACGCACACGCACACACATTTTTGTTCATTCACATAGTATACAATGTATATATCTTTTATTCCTTGGTAGTTTTTACAGCATCACCAAGCGAGTATGTATTCGTGAAATATTTGTATTAATATGGCCGTATAATATGGCCATACATGTACATGGGCGATTGCTCTTACGGTAAGTGCGTTTGTTTTGTGCATTGATAGCTGTGCGCTCTTACGATAATCAATGTGTACATCGCGCGAGAGTCATTGGTACATCGCACGAGTTTTGAGCGAGATTTTCAGGTGGAAATGAAAACAGAGAACATACACTGCGAGATCGCGGCCGGTTAATAGAGATTTCCGGATAACGGATGGCCGGATAAAGGAAGTCGTACATTACAATAAAAAAATACATACATTTGTTAAGTCACCAAAAGCTGGTCGTTTTCTTGTTGAAGTTGTGGTTTCAGGTGACTTTTCAGCAGGGCGTTTCTGTTGTGTGGTCAGCATCTTGTGTTTCTCCTGTACAGTAATCCTATCATGATTAACCTGAATGGATATAGATCATACAAATATGATAATGCATATTAAACAATTATTATGTGTCTATGTATTGCAAGCATGATATAGGGGCCTAATATAAATCGTAAGACGTAACAAAATAAAGGTTTCAGGACTCTGAATTCATCAACTCAGTTTGTAGGTCGATCTACACAATACATACCTGCTTCAGATTGTGATGAAGCTTACTGGGTCTAGGTGCCATTAGCCTTGGTGTTTACAAGCAAGTTTCCTGCAAATCAATCACAACATAAACTAAGAATAATATAATTATCTGAAACAGATTTCAAAGTTGAGAAGACGAGTCACTCAGTCAGAGTCTCAGACGGTGACAGACCGACAGACGAGACGCTGTGACACTCAGTCACAGTGAAAATCACAGTAGAATTTTCGAATATTTGACCTTGGTTCAAATAAAAACTAGTCTACTGTAGCCACAAATAGTTACATATTAAAAACTAAATTACCTGGCTTTAGCAAAAAGGCAGTAATTCTTACTTAACAATAGTTACAAGTTGAAGAAGGAGAATCTTGCACACTTGCTTGTTATTCATCGACTGTTCGAATATACCACGCATCTAACGCTACCGGTGATTGGTAAACGCATTCAAGGCTGACCAATCAGATTGTTCTCCGCATAACATAAACAGACCGATTTGATAACATGATTTATTTGAGTTTTAGTTATTTTATATACGAATATTATTGCTTACTTATATATTGCTTTTAAATTGCATGTGAAATAGCTTAACCACATTTTCTTTGCTCAGATCAATAAACAAACACAGTAACGCCTTTTGTAGTTAATAAATGTGTCAGAAGGTGGCAGCATATAAGTGTTTAGGTGAAAATGGCGACCACCGTCACTGGTGGTCCGCAACTAACTCGGAGTATAGAAAGAGTTTTAGAAGACGCACAGCACACAGGAATTTTAAACATTACTGGTAGAAAGCTCAAAGAATTTCCGAAGGCAGCAGCGAAGTATGACTTATCGGATACAGTCCTTGCAGGTTTGACAATTTCTTTTGTATTATTATTACTCCTACTCCTAGCGTTAGTACTAAGTCTGTGGCATAATTATTAATTTCTTGGCACTCCCTTCTATCAGTATCACTCTCAGTTTCCGTCGATAATCTATCGGTGTAATATCTCTATCGGTTCGAAAATTATCTCTACACTAGCACATATCGTTTTTGATTCGTGCCAACTACTCTCATTAAATTGTGGTGCTGCTTGAGCCTTGAGGTGGTAGTGCCGTTTAGAGTGATTGTGAAAATACGCTGTTTCGTGTCTCACTCTCTGTCTGTACTACTACTAGTACTAGTACTACTTCTACAGTTCTAGTAGAAAACTAACATTTAATTTAGCAGTAATATCTTATAATAACTATATAAGTATAACAAGCTTACTTCGGATTATAGTGGCGCTTCATTCGCATTCTGGCAGCCTAGAGCTGCATTCACCTGTATTATGTATACACCCGTTGAGTCGTTGACAGTTTAACACTGCGCATGCGCTTAGCCTAAGGTCAAAGGTCGGGAGGAGTTTCCGTCCCAGAAAGCGCGAGTAAAATGCGCCAACAATGGCGTTAACGTGTAGTGTGAAGGGCTGCTCAAACGGATCGTATTGGCTTAAGAAAGACTTAGAGCATGCATTGACCATAATTTAAATGTATCAAGTGTCATGTCACTCAGGTCATCCATAATCGGTGCTCTAGTCCCTGCTACGTGCACTGTTCTTCGACACAAAGGTGAGCGACCTGCGTATGCAAGGGAGATAACGCATCGAGATAAACAATATTGCGGAGTTTACTCGCACATCCGGGCTCTTGCGGAGATGCGTAACTAATGGCGCAGAACATAGGCGCAGAACTGTCAATGGGTGTATTGCTATTAGTATTAGTTGTGCGGTGGATGTTAACCAACGAAACGGTTTAAGAACAATATAAAAGCTAGCTTGAAGAAATGTGACATTAACACCGATGACTGGCAAAGGCTAGCTGGTCTGAGACCGACCTGGAGGGGCGTTGTTTACGATGGGGTTGTCTATTTTGAGACGGTCAGGCGCCAAGAAGTTGAGAGGAAATGGATCTTACGTAAAGAGCGTGCAAGGTCCTGGGAAGAGGAAAAACTTCTACCCCTACCCCCTGGCAGGGCACGACAACCTGGGGCAACCAAATTCGCCCCCGGGCAAGTAGCTTGAAATTGCACTTGCCCGTTCGGGCAAGTAATTTTTTTTCATTGAATGTCTAGACATAATGATATTTTTCTGTTTCCACTCGTCCCTTGCATTGTTTTGCACAGACACAACATCGCGCTGCCTTGCTGCGACAAGATTTGAATGAAAAAAACAATGTGAATGAAACAATCGGTGGGTACAGTACACAACATGCACACAGCAATGTACATGTAAACCCGGCCCCCAGGCCAGGCATGGTCATTACGTGATCAGCGTAAATCTCAAACCTCAAATGTTTGCCCCTCTAGTGCAACCTGTGAACAAGAATTTGCTTTGCTGAAATACACAAAAACAGATACGCTCTATACTGTGCTGTCAGTCTATTATATCTGCATGCATGCACCGCTATATTCTCTGCGCTTACGATCCAGCCCCAAATAAACCTGAACATATTTTATTAATTTATTGGGAGTGTGGTGGGTTTTTGATAATAAACTGACACTTGAAAAATTAAAAAATTAAAACAAACTGCGTGCTGTGTCCCAACATGAATATATTTTGTATACAAACTCGTATCAGCTGTTCAACTTTCTACCGTCTTGTCCCGTTAAGTGAAATGCTGGATGTTGAGTCGACTAGTTGGACCTTCATTTACGTTATTTACTATTTAAATTCATATTCGAAAAAACAACCTTATGTATAATTTTTTTTATGTTTTTCGGGCAAGTGACTTTTGCCTCCGGGCAACCATTTTCATAACCCACTTGCTCGGCAGGGGCAAGTGGGCAATATTTTTTTTGTAGCACCCTGCCCCCTGGAAACAGCTGTCAAGTGTGTGGCAAGATGTGTGGGTTGCGTATAGGATTTATAAGTCATCTGAGAATGCACAGAGAATAATTTTAGAACTTCTAGAGACAATCATACTCGCTTGCGAGTGATTCCGTAGATCGATAGGAATATATGCAAATTTTAAAATTTAAAGTGAGGATTTATCATGTTTTTTGCCTAACTGTTTGAATAGTTTCTCGACAGTTGTGATACCTACCGGTACATCCTGTGTAACACCAAGTGTATATAGTAAGGCTAACATAACATCGAACACTCGCACATCGTTCTTTTCACCAATATATATGCACCGATCCGCATTTCAAAATAGATTTGTTTACATATATGTAAACAAAACTAGCGCAAGTTTATTGTTCTCGCAAGATGCCATTGACCAGTACCCTGTCTCTACACTATTTTGCCTAATTGTCTACATTTCGAGATAGCTACTGGTCAGTCTACAAAAATTTGCGTCATGTAACTAAGTGTGCTTGTTTTGTGGGGCTGTTTGAAAATTTCATTTTCGCAAATCTCAAGATAGCAGGCACACTTTTGCTGTTTATTTACTGTTTCTAGCCTATAACAACATAAACTCAATAATTTTATGCTGAAATAATATGTATGCTGACAGATGAGACTAAATTTTACCTCATTTCCTAATTTCTCGATTTATTTGTGAGATGATCATTTTATAAGGGTAGATAAAAACAATAATATAGAAATTTTTAAGGTGTTGCAAGATAAAGTGGCATCATCATGTAACAGCGTCAACAAACTGAGATTAAATTGTTGTATATATATATGTGAAAATAACGATTTAGCTGTGTTCTTAGACATGTCATCCTTACTGTAGACACTTGCCGTTATACAAGCAATACCAGTGAGTGTTGTAATAGTCTGGAAAATATAAGAACGGTCTGAATGACTGTTTACAATCATCACTTTTTAAATTGGACTATGACTTCTGGTAATGACCATCTTCATTCACATTGTTGTTCGGCTTGGCACTCTACCACAATGATCAATTATGTACCAGAAGTACCCTTCTCAGTATATTTTAATAACTGAAAAAATGAAATAACTGAAGTCTTAAAAGATGTCCGATGACATCGGGAGGGGTATGGCGGTTTTATGGAAATCTTGGTGCTGAGATAATTCATGGTTTCATTACAAATCTCAAGCTATCATAACCACCAAAATACATAAACAATAGTTTTGATCTTAGGATAAAACTTTATGAAATTTGTGTATTTTCAGACATGCTGAAATATCATAGGTATCTTGACAGAAATTGGTGAATTAATTCTTCAATTCTGTAAGAACTAAGTGATAAAATCCCACCTACTTTTTCCGATGTAACTCTCTTCGCTTTATGGTTAATTGTGCCTGTGTATTGCAGTGCATTTTGCTTGTGAGTGGTTGTGCTTGCATTTGTGTCAATGGAGGCTTCATACACAGGTCTGCAAACTGGTAACAGAAGCGATGACAAACTGTCTATTGATCTAATCGCCTATACCTCGTTTAATATGCAGCGACCTTTGCAAATCATCAATGTTTGCGTGAAATTACTCCTAAGTGACCAAGTATGCCAGCTATTCCTTATTTCAATGGTCAATGTTATGAGAACTCTATGAAAGGTCTATCTATGAAAGGTTTGATTGGCCTACTAAAATCCAATTTGTATTTGAAGGCACCTGGATTATTCAGACCTGTAGGTAAATACTGCAGTGACAAAGGACCAATGATAGTTCATAATATTTCTCACGGCGATCACATTTTAGATGGGAAAAATAGACAGTAAATATATGAAATTGTTTTTGCTGAACAGGTTTTATACTTGTAGCTAACCTGTATTCCCTGAACAAAAGTGAAGTCAGTTGATCCAATATAATATATGGTTGTTTTGTCAACAGTTCTTACGTACAGCCACCCACTCTAAATTTGTGCAGAAGTGTACATGCATGCAAGCTGTACAGCCAAGAGGATGCTACTGATGTGAAGTACTACTGCTGCTACTGTATGCAGTTTTGTGTAACAGTCATCTCTATGATATATTATCAGGGTATTAACAGTAGCAGCAGTACTTAGTAGTAAGTACGTAACTCGTAAGTAGTAAGTAAAGCTCAGCTGGCTAGCTACGATATGATGTAGTGGAGCGTCTACTCAACATCCCATAGTACTGCAAGATATAAATCATATTCGAAGGCCTATCTCATATATATATAATATGTGTACTTGATTTATAATGTTATCATATTCGGTGAATCATTAATTATTGCAAGAATAATTTACTTTATCGTGACTGTGAGGGGAACGTTTACATTAACGCATGCGTGCTTGATTCGGTGCTAGCATAAGTGTGTGTGTGTGTGTGTGTGTGCGCGTGCGTGCGTGCGTGCGTGCGTGCGTGCGTGCGTGCGCGCGCGTGCGTGTGTGCTATAGTGATTGTGTGTACGTGCGTGCGTGCGTACGCCTTTGTGCGTAAATATCCGTGTGCGTGCGCGGGTTACACGGGTATGTGCGAGGCTACAGCATGTTCGAAAGAGCTGGGAAACTTTCACAGCCAAAGCTGGTTCGCTAGGGGCAAATTAACCAATATTGATCGCAGGATCTATATCTGGAGTAAGAGATCAGCCTCGGGAGGACAGACTCCCCGCATTACCAGGGCATGCACGCGTGTGTGGTTTATATATTGATCTCACGTAGACAATAGCAGTGATGTTCATGAATGCATTATTTCTAAACGGATGACGGACTATTGATGGCATTCTATGTCTTCTCGTTGCTCTTGACATCCGTTCGCTGGCTCGATTCATCGAAAAACGAACCTCGATTGTATACTACTAGATAGAAAAGCAGTCCACTGTGTAATTTTTCACAAAAAATATAGTTTTGCGCGTTGCCAGCTCGCGTATAGTGTGTATGTAGCCCATGACATAATATAATAGCGTTTAGCTCTGTGTAGACCTACGCGTTTTTACAAAATGATGATGTCAATGTCATTTTCACAAGGCACTGACTACTGAGTTATCTCTGCGCTTCAGCTGTTCGTACGTGAAATGAGGATGTGAGCGGAGAGTTAGTTAGTTGATTGATGGCGATGATAACGGTGGTTGAGTCGGCTACTGTACGTGCTGTAGGGCAGAAAGAGCAATTCTCCCTCCCCTAGACTAGATCCTACGCAATCCGTTCGGCGAAGTCGGCAGTCTTGCCCGAATTCTAGGTTACTGTGTGTTTATTTTTTGACGAGACACGTGCGCAAGTGTTCGTTTTTGTTGGTGCGTGTATGTGCGGGCGTGTGCTCGTTTGTGTAGGCGCGTTTAGTGTCCAGACATACGTACGTGCGTGCGTGCGTGCGTGCGTGCGTGCGTGTATAGAAGAAACGCCTGTTGAGTAGGGATATCACTGACATACAGTATCTATCTTGAGATGGGAGGATATGATTCACTGTGCCAGCTTGGCAGTGTTTATTAAAACTGCGTTGTCGAGTTACGTAACGTTGATGCTCGTGTTTGTACAACACGTCTGCCATGTTCTGAAAGCTTGTCGTCATTTTGGCCATGGTTTACCACGGCAGCATCACCAGGAGTGACTCTTATATAGGCAGTGAGCCTCAGCGAACCCCCAACTATGCGTATTTTACAATAAAATATACTTCTTTTTTTATCTCTCTTGATATCATGTATCAGGCCGTTGTAATTTTGAATATGGGCCTGAAACTACTGCCTAACGACAACGGCAATATTTGGTTTGTTTAGATAGCGCAAACGCTTACAAGATTTTCTGGGTTATCCGTGTCGTCTGTCGGTGACATCAAAGTAAAACTTGTCACTCGAATAATCAGCGTAAGTGTGGCTTTCATCGCTGTGGATGTACAATTGTACATGTATGCTGCTTCTTATGCTTTCATGCTTGTTGTGATATCATCAGTGTGATCACAGCACCATCTTTGCAGATCGCTCCATCTCTCTCTCCATCCATCCCTACCTCCCTTCCTCCTTTTATCCATCTCTCTCTCCTTCCCTTTATCCCTTCCTCCCTCCCTGTCTTCCCACCCCTCCCCTCCTTCCCCTCTCTTTCTCTTTCTCCCACTCTGTCTCTGTCTTTGTCTCTCCCTGTCTACGTGCTTGCTGTGATCCTCAGAGAAACATCCTGGATGCAGTGTATGTCGGTCGGTGTGCTGTTTGTCGTATATCTGTCAGATCTGACTAGTAGCATCACATACAGCGTGTATGATGATGCATCCGAGGCGTTGCTTTGCCTTCGCTAACGTTACTACTATATCTTACTATCAGGAGTGAATAATAATAGATCTATATATCTATATATGTCTATAATAATCTATTATTATTCATTCCTGTTACTATCTTACTATCGTTCTACTCTACTTATACGCTATTGGCTCAAATAGTGACCATCGAGATCTCATCTCGCTCGGCTGCGAGACACGAGTAGTATTCCGCCCCGCGGCACGAATAGTATACTATATGCTGTATGAAATAATTAAATTATGAGAACACACGCAGCTCCAGCACGTAGTATCGGGTACTTTTATCAGACGACTAAGCAAATTACGATGAACTATGAGTGAACTACGAGAAAAGTGCGAGCGAGCCTCTCTCTTCAGGGCAATGTTGGAGTCGTAGCACGGGCCGTGAAGGCGTGAATCGTGTAGTATTATCTTAGATTGCCTTGTCAAGCACAGGCGGTCTGTGTCATCGACACCTCCGAGTTACAAATGAACTGCTGGCTGGCTGTTCAATTAAAGATCGCAGGAAGATAATTAGGAATGGTGATTGTCACACGTGTTCGCCGTCGTTAACATACAAAGCCACTTTGGTATGTCAATATGCATGCTGGAAGCGGTCGTATAATTTGCATTGATGTGCGTTTGCCACGCAGCCCGGCAATGCAGTGGAAGTGCGTTACCCCGCAATTCCTGTGCTGTACTGTAGTTTGCCTGAACATACTCCCGCAATGCGTTTTATTGGTTGGTAAATTACCGTTATGAGTTATTATTGAAGATTAAACCATAAGCCATATAAACTGTGTATGTATGACAATGTGTGTATGTGTGTGTGTGCGTGCGTGCGAGCGAGCATGCGTGCAAGCGTGTATTCACTATACATGTACTCTTGATATGTGTAGTTTATAGAAGTTGTTGCTAAAATAGCAGGACAATGTTGACAGATTACTGTCATCAAATTTGTGGACTCATGAGCACTTGTTTCTATTTTGCTGCAGCTATTGGAGTCGTGATGTATGTGACAGCTTAGAGCTATATGCTGTGCTATGTACAGCTAACTGTTATCCTCTAATCGATGTGTGATTTTCCACATTGTTTATTGCAGACTTATCAAAGAATAGACTATCAGAGATTCCGGAAGTGGTGTGCGAATACTGGTCACTGGAGAGCATGACATGTTACTGCAATAATATCAGGGTGATACCGGACGCTGTCACAAACCTGCAGTACCTCACAAGGTTGAACCTCAGGTATGTTGTACAAGTCAACGCAAACCCACTGCCAACACTTATGCCTGCATGCACGCACGCGTACACGCACGCGTGCAAGCACCCACATGCATACACGTACATGCCCCATGGCACATAATATATATATATTACTATGGCTGAAACTTTTAGTGCAATATATTCTGACTTGTAATCGATAGCTCTACTCACATGCGCGTTATACACAGTGCTACGTACGCAGTAACGACACACATCAGTCAATCAGCACTCTTGATTGTTTTGCAGTAACAATTTTTGGGGCAATACAAGCGTGCCATATAAATTGACCCAGATTTCTCCGACAGCCGAGAATATTTATGTGATACTGATACTGAACTGCGTATCGATAATCGTATTGTGGACCACTGTATCGCAATTCACTGATGTATCAGTGAATCTTTACACCCCTAGAAGGTTCTAAGACATATTTAGAAGCTTTACTCTAGACAATTGCTTTTACTCAAGCAATAACAGTAAGTATCGTAAAAGTGGAGAAAACACGAGACCGATCGGGAAATTTTTTAAATCCTTTAAAAACGTGAGTGTGCATAATTCACAGTATCTTTTGATTGGTATTCATATCAAAGAGGAGGGAGAAACCACTCAATGTTGATGGGAAAACCTTCACATGTTGCAAGTAGATGAACGTGGTACACGATCACAGCTGTGGTACTGTAGTGTAACTTGTAAGAGTATAATATCAAGAGTAGATAATAGAGATCTCTATTATCTCTATTATCTATCATCTCTATTATCTACTCTTGATAATATCTGTGTAGTAGCTGTCTAGCTTGATAAGGTGCAGCAGAAATATGATATGACAACGGGGAAGTAAAAAATATCTGCCGCATTTGTGGCTCACGTGTGGGAGGAGAAGCGAATAGAGAGCTTTCCATCATTTCAATGTATGGTACGTGTGAGAATGGTAGCCAGACATTAATCAGGGTAAAAACATGGCTTCAGGATTTCGCATCCAGTTGAAATAGTTCTTCCGTCTCGTCTCGTATGATATGAATGAAATTCGATGCTCTAGCCTTTGTTTTTCAGTGGCATCTCCGGAGGGCGCCTGCCTCCGCTCGTTACATACGCATACAGTGCAATGTTGTTGAATCATCACAGCTCTCCGAGGTCCCTTAAACAGTTTCGGGGGTTTATATTGACTCAGGCGCAGCCGGGTAATGCATTTATAGGTAGTAAATAGGCCGGGTTAGCGTGTGCATGCATTCATTTAGAACTTTAGGGTAATCGCGGCAGAGTTTATAGGACTCGAGAGCGTAGAGCGAGTAATGCACGGCCTCCTGTGGGGCGCGGCTGTCACCACTCATTCGCTCTTACAGCTGATCGGGGTTGCTGGGGCCACGACGCAGTGAGTATCACGTACCGCATGCACTGTTGTCATTAGCGGAAATTTAATTGGTGATGAGGTGCTGCATGGGAGCCGAGTGGCACGACTAGTGATTCTCGCAGTACGGTGCTGTGGTTTGTGTGTGTGTGTGTGTGTGTGTGTGTGTGTGTGTGTGTCTGGTCAGGGGGGGGGGTCAGAAGTTGCACCATCCCTCAGAAATCAGAAACTGCTCATTATCGTGAACATGTCAGATCGTAACTATTGTGAAGCCATAGTCTAAAACATATTCTTACAACATGTACTCCTTCCCATCTCCCACCTGAAATCACACTTCCTAATCGTCCTTGCTAATTTTCTTGGCTGTGTGGGGTCAGCTGGCTTGACCGAAATATCGAATAGCATCGTCACTAGATTGTCCTAGTGACGTACGCTTTGCTGGTTTACGAATTATCAACAATGTTTCATCATCTGTTGGATCTGAACATGAAATTGCGAGAATCGAGTTTTATGCCTCGTTGCCCTTTTAATAGCGGTGACGGAGCAGAAGCTGCTGTTCACATGTTTTTTTATTGTCGTCTGCGTCGATGACTCGGTAGATGAATCACAGGTCAGCATGACGCAAAAACTAAGGCAGTGACATGACGTGCCATCGTCGTGCTTTGGTCCTGCATCCCGAGACCGTAAGCTCACCACGCACGCACGCACGCACGCACGCACGCACACATGCACGCACGCACACATTCACGCACGCACCTTACTATTAAACGGCCATCGTATATCTAAACAGTTAGATAATTACTGGAACAGTGTTAATTGTCTTGTTCGGCAGCGGACGGGGCAGCGGACAAGTCTTCAGATTAAAGATATTATTGATAGACACGCACATATGCATGCATGCACGCACGCACGCACTCACGCACACATGTCGATTAGCCTTTGTCAACATTCATCCTCAAATTGCTCCTTCCTCTTTGTACAATGTTGAGAATTTAAATGCTGAAAAGAGTTTAGCGTGCACACCAGAGCGTACACAGTTTTGTATGGTTGGCACAATGTCGCCTGACTTCACAACCCAATTAATTTTGTGATGGGCATACAGTACTTGATGAAGAATCACTTGATGAAAAACACCGCAGCTGTTTCCCAGAGATACAAGTGAAGCAATTTGAGCACCCAGCCTCCAGGACTTCATGACCACATTCTGACTAAACTATCTAAGTCCACTTACTAATGAGCGTTGGGGCTCATTATCGTGAAAATGTATAAGCCATAGTCTAAAACATATTCTTACAACATGTACTCTTCCCATCTCTCACCTGAAATCATACTTCCTAATCGTGCTTGCTAATTGTATCTCCCGCAACGAAGTCGGCGGGTATACTATGGTTTCATGTCTCCCCAGCCGCCGCCACCGCCGCTCGGTTCGCCGCAGAGAATTTCCCTTCTGCTCTATAACTCCTAATTGACCTAGCATGACCAAACTTGGTATACTTACACATCTTGGGGAGAAGGTGTGCCGAGTACCAAAACCAGGTCACTGCGACCTTTATTTGACCTTTACCTTTACCTTGATCATATTTCCCTTCCGCTCTCTAACTTGGCCCCTAATTGACCTAGCGCTACCAAACTTGGTATACTTACACATCTTGGAGAGAAGGTGAGCAGCGTACCAAAACCAGGTCTCTGCGACCTTTATTTGACCTTTACCTTGACCTTGATTATATTTCCCTTCCACTCTCTAACTCGGCCCCTAATTGACCTAGCGCTACCAAAACCAGGTCACTACGACCTTTATTTGACCTTTACCTTGACCTTGATCATATTTCCTTTCTGCTCTATAACTCGGTCCCTAATTGACCTAGCGCTACCAAACATGGTATACTTACACATCTTGGGGAGAAGGTGTGTCGCGTACCAAAACCAGGTCACTACGACCTTTATTTGACCTTGACCTTGACCTTGATCATATTTTCCTTCTGCTCTATAACTCGGCCCCTAATTGACCTAGCGCGACCAAACTTCGTATACTTACACATCTTTGGGAGAACACGGGGGATACATGTAGTTGGCGACAACTGCCCTTTCTAATTTTCTTGGCTGCGTGCGGTGTGGTGGCTTGAGCGAAATATTGAATAGCATCGTCTTCTTCTTCCTCTCTGGTCACTACACTACACTCGACCTAGCCGCTGCAGCACACAGGACCTGGCACGGTGGTTGAAAACCTCAAGGATCGTAGTCTAGCATCGTGAAAATGTACNACTACACTACACTCGACCTAGCCGTTGCAGCACACAGGACCTGGCACGGTGGTTGAAAACCTCAAGGATCGTAGTCTAGCATCGTGAAAATGTACATTTAAGCGTTCTGTTGTTTTCCGCTGCAGTCGGAATCAGTTGGCAACGCTACCGGCGTCGCTCTGCATGCTTCCCAGCCTCCAAGTGCTCATCGTGAGCAACAACAAGCTAGTCTCCTTGCCGGAAGAAATCGGACATCTCACAACACTAATGGACTTGGTGAGTTGGCCGGTTTGCTGTCTCTGCATGTCAGGTACACAATACCGTGGGCTTATAGCCTACGGGGGTGTGTGTGGGGGGTGGGGCTGCCCCCATAAATTTTTAGGAAAAGTATATAATTGACCTGAAAATTTATGTAAATAATCCTAAACTTAGTGTCATAAATAATTTAGTAGCATATCCCTTTAGCTTTTAATCTTATCTTACTGTGGTTTATTACTCAAACCCGTAACAAAAGTACTCCCTTATTCTTATTCAGTTCAGTCTCAGAGTTCCCCCCCCCCCAACTAGTAATTTGCTTAGGCTTTGCAGCACACGTTTGTGTAGAGGATAGCATTGACCGGGGATGCTTTCTCTTCTAATTGCCATTATTCTTAGGGATGATCGGTGTAGCTACAGAAACAGCATGCACTTGTCATTTTGTTTGCCTGTCGACTTAGCTCTTGTTATCCTACGAAGTACTCATGAGGTTTTGTCACATGCTAACATTTGCATTGGACATTTCCAAGTGACGCACAAAGACCTTTGCTTATAAAAGCGGCAGTGAGTAGGCCTATAATAGCTACAACCACTTGTTGCTTAAAGGGATACTACACCCTAGAATTTTTTAAGGGGTATATTATGTTAGTAAGTGAATAAATAATAGTATATACCTACAAATTTCTATAATCATGCATTCACATTTGTCATAAAACCACCGTGAGTTTCGAAATCTTTATTTTTGGTTGCTGACCCGCGATTGTGCTGCCACGCTGACGAAGTTGCGCTTTTTCCGATTTATTTTGCACGTTACAGACTGACGGCTAATCATAAAAGTGCAATTATATTTATACCTAACTGCTATTTAATCGAACGATTTTTATTTTAGGACAAATTCGTCCATATTATAACTGAATCTAAAAGTTGTTTATAAGATATTGCAATCCTTTTCCTCTTAAATTAATAAATAAAAAACACCCTCGGTCTGTAGCCTACAGCTGCTGCGATACGCAACTTTGAAAGTAGATGTGCTAGACTGTATTGAACAATGAAATTTTTTATGTAAAATTTGTACCTATTTTAACTGAAAATATCCAAGTAACCTAGCATCATGTATCCGTTTAATTGTTGTTTTTTTCAGGATGTGAGCTGCAATGAAATTTCCCACTTACCACTACAACTTTGTGATATTGAAAGTCTAGCGGTGCTTAACCTTAGAAAGAATTTTCTCATAGATTTACCAAAAGGTGAGTTTACTGGCTGCAATGTTGTTGATCTATGTATATAAATCTGGTTATCACTTGCAAATTCCAAGCCAGAGTTGGCTTGTTGTCGCTGTCAGCTATCACTACTGTGTGTGTGCCTGCTCCAGTGACTGTTACTGTTAGTGTGCATATTTTATGCTAGTGCTGGTACATTTGGCATCTTATCGACCATATATATTCTGGTATAGTGTATTTAAATTATGCATGTGTATGCTTTAAAATGTGTTTTATTCAACCAAGTGTATGTGACGTGACGACACTTAATAGCATCCAGGTTCAAAGATTGTATCGAATCCAAGTCACTAATGCAAGCCCGGAAAGTTCCTGAATTTGATCTATATTGACATACCTGCGTGTTGATTTGTTTCTTTGATCACGTAAATGTCTGTACGAAGTCTAGGTTGGCATTCCTGAGCAGTTACGACTGAGCCGGTTGATATGTTAGGTGGATGAATGCTTGCCTTGGTCCCTTCACTGCTACGCCATGTTAATTTCGCATCCCAGGTGTGCACGTGGTTCTCATTTATGCGTCTCAGCGGTTTGCCTACTTACTCCTAATGGTGGGGAAAGTGGCCCGCTTTCCCTGGAAACATCCCTCATAGCTTAGCCCTTCATTTGTGGATAGAGCTACTGCTGCGCTTGTTTATATGCACAAGCTGAAGCATCACATTTTAATGAGACAGTGCACTCCATTTGTGTGATTTCGTCGCATTGGTGTTGTTTAGCAGTGTATCTCATGGTATAGTCAGCGTGTGATAGTACTATGATGATACCAGGAGTGAATATTAATAGATTATTATTAGATTAATTAATAGATCTAATAATAAATAATTAATAATAAATTCTTTCTCTAAGATCTAATAATAAAATCTAAGAAGATCTAATAATATTAATTAATAATAAATAATTAATAGATCTAATTTATTATGCACTCCTGGTGATACTATATATATGATTGTCACACTGTACGTCAGTGATTTCTAACCTTACATCGATTATTACACTGTACGTCAGTGATTCCTAACCGCTCCGATAATGATACCACGTCAGTGATTTCTAACCTCTCACACCTATTATTACACTATACGTCAGTGATTTCTAACCGTCACCTATTATCACACTGTGCTGCAATGACTTCTCATACTAGTTGCTACTGTAATTCGGTGATTACTAACCTCTCAAATCCACTTTAATGCTGTATTATAGGAGTTTCTAGCTTCGCACACCCATTATCACCGTAGCTAAGTAATTTTCAATATCTCACGCCCATTAGTATTCTGTAATTTAGTGCAACAACGTGTAAGGAGGATGCGTAATGCTCATAGGTTCTATGTCCCCCAGGGTACTGCCGGAACGTACCCTGGTCACTATTTGATATGGTTAGGGTTAGGGTTAGGGAGTAGGCGTAGGCGACTCCCTAGACTCGTCAGTGGAGTAGGCGAGGTACGGTCTGGCATATTAGATAGTACCAGGGTAGGTTCCGGCAGTACCCCGGGGGACATATACTCTCTCAGCATTAGTAATTGTAGTAGCATGATATGGAGGAGGGGAGAGCTGAATACGGTCTGGACATCCCCACTATTAGAAAGCATGTGCATTATAAGCGGGGGTGAATAATGACAAATTTGCTAGTATTCACTTCTGATGTAAGTGTGTACACATGCTGAGAGGTTGGAAGATTCCTGGCTGTAGAGAATGGCAAACCGATGGAACGTTCCCTAGGGTAAAAAGGTAATTAGAAAATTGCATATCATGGCTGCACTGTTGGTTCGATGGTGGCTGGGTCGAGTGGCTGGATAGCGTGCTGACTGCGTTGCCCCCCAGACGCCGGAAAACCATTGCAATCAGTCAGTCACAGTACTCACAGGGCGTAGTATGCTGAAACGGCGGAACGGCTAGTGCGTGTGGTTGTGTGTGCTGTCTTGCCGTGTGGTGACAGGTCCAGTGCTTGTGACTGTGTGTGCTGTCTAGCCCTGTGGGTGACAGGTCCAGTGCTTGTGATGCTCAGCTGTGTAGTCTTCTGTGATTGTGGCGGGGACCCACCGACCCAGTCCATTTCTCCTCTCACCATTCGTTTTTCGTTGCTATATCATATTTTAATTTATACCCTAATATAAACCCTAATATTTATCACCTTATAAGGTGCCGCGCAGCAGTTGTAGGGTTCCTCTGATCACTCTCAGTGATGGTGTGTTTATTATTGCGGCGTTCGCCACGTGTTGGATTCCATGTACGCCCATCACGTAACTTTTTACATCCGAATTCACGGCAATATTTTTTTGCAAACCCCCCCCCTCGACTCGGGGACGATCTCTCACTGCTGCTGTCGAAAGCCGTGCTGGGTCTGCTGTGATGAAATAGTCATACTATCAAGAGCGTATAAAGAAGGACCTTCTTTATACGCTCTTGATAGTATCATAAGTAGATAATAGGGAATAGATAATAGGGATTCCCTATTATCTACTTCTGATAGTATATACCCAGGGTTCGACACTAACGCTAGTCCGTTAGTCCGAGACTAGTAAAAAATCAGAAGGACTAGTAAATGCCCCATAGCCGTTAGTCCTGCGGACTAGTTATATTTTCCCCGTCCCTCACCGTCCCAATTTCCCATCCTCCCATCGATTTTACTATAGTCCCCGGCGGCAGCGTCTCTCAACCAAGATCCAAAGAGCTATATATAACTCATTCCCATTAACAAGTTTTCCTTGTTAGACGCGCTAGTACAAGTAGGCGCTAGCACGCTCTGCACGGTCTAAGCATGCTAGACCATACGGCAGTACAAACATTGTTATACAATGGGGCCAGGAACCCAGTCTACCAATCGATCGCTTGCCAGTAGCTGTTGACATAGAAAAAACGGTCTGATTGTAGAAATGACGCAACTAATCAGTTATAGGCTCTCATAAAAAAAAAAATTAAAAAAAAAAGTTATAGGCTCTCATAGGGAGGTATTTACATCGCAACCACATCGCATGCGTGTGTTACTTGACGCAGTCCATACAAATAGTAGTGAAGCTAATAGTAGGTACATCCTTATTCAATAGTATAATACTAACATCAATGTTGTTATGTGGAAGTGTTTTTGGGCGGGGCTCGCCCGCCACCTCCCAAACGTAAATCGCAGGAGGAGAAATTAGATGGCCAGCGTGTCTATGATAAGACGAAAAGGATGCGTGCGTCTCAGCCAGCGTGGAAATCGTCATACCCGTGGCTAGAGTATGACCCGGCCAAGGACAAGGGTATGACCAGTGGTGACCCTAACCCTGATACCTCTTCGTGCGGTGGTGTATCTACATGGGGGCTTATACACGTGTGTGTACGTACGTGCGTGCAGGCCTTAGTTTGTGTGCGCGTGCTTTATGTGTGCATGCGTGCGTGTCTTTATGTGCGTGTGCGTGTGTGTGTGCGTGCGTGTGTATTTACGCATGTGCTTGTGACCGCATTCTGATGCGGAAACCAAAGATGTCTATCGCATTTAAGCTGCGGATTTTGTGGCAGGCCATTTACTCTGCACGTGGAAAAGGATACTGAAGGAAACCTTCATTTTGTAGATTACTGAGCTTAACACTCCTAATGCTTGCCAGCTGCCAGAACATGGATAACTTAGCATGAATAACCCTAACTATTGTTAATAATAGTGTACATAAGAACTGCTGTAAGTGTAGCGATAAAATGTTTGTGCCAGGTCATGTGATTATAGTTGCTATAACCATAGCTGTAGAACTATATAGCCCTTCGTTCTGCCGCAGGGCGAGAGGCCTGCGGCGGAACGAAGGGCTATAGTTATACAGCTAATATAACCACTATTGGTAATTACACTTAGCAAAAGTCATAGGACGTTAGCTGGTCATATATCTGTTGTTTTTTCAGTTTATGTTATCTATAAACGTGCCAATTTTTTTATGGTGCAATCTTATATCTCACCGTGTATATAGTATATATATATATATATATATATATATATATATATATATATATATAATATATATATACACAATATTTCGTTATCTAATGTAACTGGAAAGTCACTTGTGAAAGTTTTACTTGGCAGGTAAACTCAGGTGTTATCTTGCATGTAGAGCCATCATCACCACAGAGCGTAAGCTGGCCATCAGCCAGGCTAACCCATCATCTACCTGGCAAACCCATCACCTGGCAGGCACTTAACTGTCGAGTTATAGCGATCAAGGCTGCCTGAATAATTAATTCTGACCGCTTGCATTTCAGACCTAACCAGGTTAAAACTGGTTAAGCTCAACATATCAGAGAACCGAATCTCTCAGTTGCATCCATCGTTGATAAAGCTGATGGACACGCTGGTCGAACTAGTGGTGGAGAATAACCCTCTAATATCTCCCCCGGCGTTGGTGAGTGGTTTGATTTGTGTATGCAGTGCGTTGACGTGGTCACGTAGGAGAGTTCCAGTTAGCCTCTGATGTAGCTGACCAGTCGAGTGAGCTTGGTGATATGTTAAAGATATTTAAACCATCCTTTTTTTGAATTTCTTATTAACTATTAATTAATATATTATTTTATTAAGCTCTTATAGACATTTAATTACTTCATCAGCTCCTAAATGAAGTTGAAAAATAGCCAGTCATGCTGCCTCTAGTGTTTGAATGAGCATGGGAGTGATGTTGTACTACAGTTTCTACTCCATGTCAATACATTTTGCTGTGGCCGTATTACTGTACCCCAAAAAACTAAGAAGGGGAACATGGCAGAGATTCAAAGAGAGGGGGAGGGAGAAAGAAGAGAGAGTGAGAGAGAGAGAGAGAGAGAGAGAGAGAGAGAGAGTAAGAGAGAGAGAGAGGAGAGAGAGAGAGAGAGAGAGAGAGAAGAGAGAGAGAGAGAGAGAGAGAGAGAGAGAGAGAGAGAAGAGAGAGAGGAGAGAGAGAAGAGAGAAGAGAGAGAGAGAGAGAGAGAGAGAGAGAGAGAGAGAGAGAGAGAGAGGAGAAGAGAGAGAGAGAAGAGAGAGAGAGAGAGAGAGAGGAGAGAGAGAGAGAGAGAGAGAGAGAGAGAGAGAGAGAGAGAGAGAGAGAGAGAGAGAGAGAGAGAGAGAGAAGAGAGAGAGAGAGAGAGAGAGAGAGAGAGAGAGAGAGAGAGAGAGAGAGAGAGAGCGAGAGAGAGAGAGAGAGAGAAGAGAGAGAGAGAGAGAGAGAGAGAGAGAGAGAGAGAGAGAGAGAGAGAAGAGAGAGAGAGAGAGAGAGAGAGAGAGAGAGAGAGAGAGAGAGAGAGAGAGAGAGAGAGAGAGAGAGAGAGAGAGTGAGAGAGAGAGAGAGAGAGAGAGAGAGAGAGAGAGAGAGAGAGAGAGAGAGAGAGAGAGAGAGAGAGAGAGAGAGAGAGAGAGAGAGAGAGAGAGAGAGAGAGAGAGAGAGAGAGAGAGAGAGAGAGAGATGAGAGAGAGAGAGAGAGAGAGAGAGAGAGAGAGAGAGAGAGAGAGAGAGAGAGAAGAGAGAGAGAGAGAGAGAGAGAGAGAGAGAGAGAGAGAGAGAGAGAGAGAGAGAGAGAGAGAGAGAGAGAGAGAGAGAGAGAGAGAGAGAGAGAGAGAGAGAGAGAGAGAGAGAGAGAGAGCGAGACGAGAGAGAGAGAGAGAGAGAGAGAGAGAGAGAGAGAGAGAGAGAGAGAGAGAGAGAGAGAGAGGAGATGAGAGAGAAGAAGAAGAGAGAGAGAGAGAGAGGGAGAGAGCGAGAGCGAGAGAGAGAGAGAGAGAGAGAGAGAGAGAGAGAGAGAGAGAAAGTGACAAAGCAAAAGAACATGTGAGCCAAAGACAGACACAGGGACAGAAAATAAAAATTTCTCAACTAATAATAGTAATATCTCTGTCCTTTCTTCACGTAGGTTTGCAATCGTGGCCGGGTTCATATATTCAAGTGCTTAGAGATCGTCGCCGTGAAAGAAGCGAAGCGTCATGGCATACTGACAGATCAGGATCTAAAGCAAGTGTTCCGGAAATCTAGGTCTGCCCAGCCGCTGTGAGTGCCGCAAGCATGCGCTTCATTAGTCACTAATCGCATCTGACGTAGAAACGCAGCCGGAATTGCCGTGCTCCCTCTGTACATAGCGATTCGAGCAAATTCCCTTTGGGTGGAATGTCGCTCGATTGCTTTGTATGTGAATGAAGGTTGCTCGTGCACTTCTTCGCCCTTATTGACATTCTAATATGTGTTGCAGCCATACCCAAAGTACAGTTAGTGTAGTTCCTATATGCAGTGTTTTGCAGTATTTCGCAGTAATGTGCAGGTTTTGCTTATCATAGTTTTATGGTTATCATATCTTCATGAGCATTTAATGGCTATGCCTTGGAAAAAAGCATTGCTGTTCAGGCACAAGATTCATTCACACACTATACAGCCGTTGTGAATTTCTACTACTGCCAAGTCGTGTGGTGTTACGCGAAAACCATGACGGCATACTCGCATGGTCGTGACTCATAATAACCGGATGAGGAAGGATTCTTTCCAAACATGGTGGTGGTGTCTCTTTCGAGGGATGCATTCTCTTGATTGCTCTGAGCGCATTGAATCGCTAGTACTTCGTAGTAGATACTAATCTTGTCAGGTGTGTGGGTATGGAAGCAGTAAGTACGACTGCATGTGCGCGTGCCGCAGGGGCTGTATGCCCCTGGGGGAACATCACTGATATGCTCACCCGTTCATCTCCAATATCATCACTCGTAGACTGCAGCAACAGGAGGAGGATAGTGGCTGATGTACAATTTCATTGATTGTTTCTACACCCATGGCCACTGCCCACCCTACATCCAGTCATGGCCGGTGCACATAAACCCCTACCATCATCAACCCAGTCGTGCCCTGTGCACGTCGTTCCTTTCCCATCATCCACCCAATTGTGCCCTGTGCCTATCAAGCCCCCCAAGCACCCACCAAATCATACCCCCATAAGAAAAAAGCCACATTGATTTCATTCATCTGTGTGAGTTCTTCCTTGGAAAATCGAGCTGAATATGTTAGGGGGGTGATGCGCTACTGTGTGCACCCTGCATCTATGATCGTTCATTGACTGCCAGCTATATGGAGTAAAAGCGCACTGCTCAGCCTTGAAGTGTCTAAGAGCTGTTAATGTAGGCACTTGCGAATCCATTCAGGTTGACAGTGAAGTCCTCCTCTATTGCATTGTGCGTGCGGAATATACCCTTGAGCGTGTGAGGAAACATATATATATTCGCAAGGGGCTACCCAAAGGTTTTTGTGACAAATCAATCGTTCTTTCTTCTCAGTTCTTGGAAGCAGCTGTCGCAGCTCTGCAAAACTAAAAATCGATTGGGTACATTGATTGCACTCAACGTGCGCTTATTAGTCATGAAATTATATATATAATATATGCTACACGTAGCAGTGTACCAGATGCCAAGAAGTTGGCAATAGGTTGAACTGTAATATGCAGATTAAAAAAGTAATAAAAATACGTGATAATGATGATAATAATAATAAGTGATGGGTAATTTGGAAACTAGTACAAATAAGTTTTACATTTAGCTGAGATCATTAGCTGCAGTGTTGGGCACGTGTGGTAAAAGAGAATATTTATGTGGAGATGTGGAGAACAGGTGCTGTACTTTTTTAGAGAATTTGCTTCAGCTGTTTAACACTAACAGTACTCTTACTGTTCATGTTCTGAGAATGCTTCAGGCAACAACCGGTCGTGTTTCTGCATGGGTAAAACCTCCGCACATTACTGGCTTCCTAACAATAGTCTTAGTGACAATAGACTAGTGTTAACACTATCACCCCTGTTTGAAGTATAGTGTGTGCTATGTGCAGTTTAACTAACACGCATGTGCCACCCCTCCCCAGCTTTTACACACGGTTTCACACAGTTGATGATAGAGTAGGATTTTTTACAGTAGTTCTGAAGACTACAGCCGACCAAGGCAGTCGTCGGAAGAGAAACGCCAGCGCAACCTGGTTGCCTCCATTGCAGACTCGGGTTACATCACGACAGATAGCAACGAGGACAAGCGTTGGTCTAACGAAAGTGCAGATACGGTATAGAGCATGTGTATATTCTAACATAGTTAAATAGTTTTACGTGAAGACAGTATTTCGAGGGTTAAAGACGGGCACCTACAACACGTATCATTGGTGTGTGGCTTACTTATGTATATATTATATAGCAAGTAAAATGAGGGTGAATCTTGAAGAATGTTATCCATGTGACCTCACGCAAATATCAGTTACGTGACGTGACATGACATAACGTGACATGACATAACGTGACATGACATAACGTGACATGACATAACATGACATGACATGACATGACATGACATAACGTGACATGACATAACATGACATGTGATGTGTGTGTTCACAGCCATTAGGATGAAAAACAGTAGCTGCGTGTTAGGAAATGCAAGCACCTTGCATATAATATAGGCATGAGCAGTGATAGCAGCCATAGAGAAAAAAGACTTCCTGTCTGAAGAAAAAACACAACACAAACAAACGGAAAGGCTGAGGACTCCGAATAGAAACGTTGGCGATGATCTCTTAATTTTATTTTCCACTGCCGTGTCTTCAGAATGCGAGCATAGAGGACTCAAGGAATCTGGCTCTGCGAGCTATGGAAGCAACCAAAGAACATTGGCAGGAGCGAGGGAGGCAGCAGCAGCAGCAGCAGCCACCATACGATGCAAGTGCACGGGTAAGAACCCGTGAATGCTGTCTCTCGAACCCCCCACCACCACCGGTAATGCACTAACTAGTTCACTTACACGCGTGAATGGCTCCGCGGTGAGTAGTCATTATCTGCTTCATCAGTGCTTTCACGCATTCATGATTGCTGTGGTCGGTGATGGAGCAAAAGCTGGCCAACGAGACGTATGCGAAGTGTCAGAGTTTTGATGTAGTGGGCGATAGGTATGCGTGCGTACGTGTGTGAGTGTGCACATACGCAAATGGATCCGTACGTGCATTTACCGAATGTTAGTGTGCGCGTACGTCTGGTGTACGTGTGTGTAACCGTGTGTGCGTGTTTATCTTGTGTTTACTCTGTGAAAAGTTGATTGTGTTTGTATCTGGTAATGGCTGTGCATACACTGAAATTAATATTCTCCCAAATAAAACCGGTTGCAAACACGTTATTCAACACACAGTTAAAATTCGTATCACTCTGGTTCACATAAGTTAATTGGTATTTATGTCAACTTGTTGAACAGATGTTAACAGATGATTCGAAAACTAGGTCAGTGGTATGAGCTAGCACAAGTCTTAAAGTTAAGATATTCTCATATATAATCAAGAATTATTATCTCCGAATTATTTGCATCAGGTTGGAGATATAATGTGTTATACAAAATTAAATAATTCATTGCACCATACTAATTCAATTTAAAATTTCACATCACTGTTTGCATGTTTAATAATGCTCATAGCTTTCATCAGTTATCTGATCTTCACACTGTCGACTCGTCATGCTGTTGCCCGCATTTTAATGATGGATTTGTGATACCTAGTGTGCAACCAAGTGGGAGATAACATGAACATGTAGAAAAACCAGTAAGGTGTATACACCTGCACTGAATCACCAGGCAATAGACGTTTGATCTCTGTTATTAAAGTCCAGTACTGAATTTTGCCAATTTAAATTGGCAGTACAATACTACATGCATCAGTGCATTTCGTTTGAGTGCAGTAAGAGGAATGCTATAGCGTTGGCATGGATGGATACTTGTTAATATTCTATGCAACACTTCTGTAGTGAACTGTAAATAATTTCTGCTGGTATGCCAGCATGTGTCGAGAATTATTGCTTACTTTAGTGGTGCTGTACATCACATTTGTAGGATTTTGACATCTAATTCCTATTTATTATCTGCTTCTATTTCTTAACTAGTCTGATTAATTTTTAGTGTGAAAATAATTAAATCCTCTCGTGAAATTGGGCATCAATAATGATTTAGTAGCAATACTTCTTTCAATAGTGAGTCAAATGCTGGGGGTCATTGATAGGATATGGCCTCTGGGAATCTAGATAGGCAATATCATTTCAATGGCTAAAGTTTAGATCATAATAATACAATATGAGAGTGAGAAGCGTGAAACAAAAAATGAATTGCCCGTTGTGGGTTCTAATTTGATGTTGTGTGTTACAGAGTCGGCAGGCAATTGGGGAGCAGACACCAATACACCTGGTAGCCAGCAGTCCTGCGTTGCTGGACACGGATGAAAGGCAAGACGAGTTCACAAAGGTACAGGGTTAGCACCTGAAAAAACCTCTCCACGATTTTTACATGATGTTAATTCATGTGGTAGACTTTTACTACCGTCAGTGGTTAATAATGACAAATTTGTGACAAATTAATGACAATTTCAATGACATTTTAATGACAAATTTATCACTATTAACCCCTGCTACTATGCACTTACATTGCTACTACTTCCGTGGTACAATTAAGCACTAACGTTACATCGGGAAAACATGCGAGCATTCGGATGCATTATGCTGCCACTGCTTAAGTGCTGGTAAACAGATTCTCATTAAGGCATTTCTGAAGTGGGTGTGTGGATTTTAGTAGTTACACAATTGGTAATATATTCTTTTGTGTCAAAGCTGCAGATCAAACCATCTCGAAAAGTTATGTGTCATCAACCTGTAGTTCATTTGTTTAAAAACTTCTAAATCAATTCTTTATGGGTCATGTAATGCTGTAGCATGTCACATCATGATAACATATATTTATATGACATAGATTTTGTTTGAGCTTCGATTGGGTGGTGATGGATTTACGATTTTCAGTCTTACTTGACATTTATTATACGCATTTCAATGACCGTAGGAGCTGAGTCGACAAAAAGCCATGTATGAAGAACGCAAGAAAATTGCGGAGAAAATAAAGCAGACAATTGCATCGAAGTCCACGCCTCCTGACACTCCCAACCCACCGGAAACGAATGGCGAGGATCCATTCTCAAAGGTGTGCATTTCCCATCTTGGTATTACACTGTGTCGTGGATGCTATATCGGTAGTCAATGTGGAAATCTTCAAGAAAGAATCGGTAGAAAAGGTCATCAGTAAGAAGATCGGTAAAGTAATCGAAGAGCAGGTAGTACTCAGAATTTACATTGAGATTGAATTCCTCACAGAAGCTACTTCTCACGATATTGCATGGTTTAGACTGAAATCGTGTAGGTTTCTTGTGACCAATGCATGTACTGCCAGTAACCTGCATTATTTGCAAAAGGTTAAATGGGGATCCGTACAACAGCTTGGTTGTAACCCGAGGCTGCATAGATTTATGCCCTACATAGCTACCTAGCTACACTGCTACATAGCTACATAGCTGTACTACATAGCTACCTAGCTACACTGCTACATAGCTACATAGCTGTACTACATAGCTACCTAGCTACACTGCTACATAGCTACATAGCTGTACTACATAGCTACAAAGCTACACTACTACATAGCTACATAGCTGTACTACATAGCAGTAAACGTGCTTCTTACACAATGCGCATGAGGCTGCTTAGATTTATTCCCCCTGCGCTCACACCCCTTCCTCTCTCTCGCGCACAGGAGTTGGCACGCCAGAAACTGTTGTACGAGGAGAAGAAGCAGTCGGCGGAGAAGATTCGGCGGGAGCGTGCGCGGGAGGAGGAGGACGAGCGGGAGGAGAGGAGGAGGGCGGCCGTGCGACTGCAGAAGGAGCAGGAGGCTCTGATAGATCGACAGCGAGATGAAGCCAAACGCAAGGCCGAGGGAAGGTAAGCTGTTTCCTTGCTTCTGTACTTCTTGCAGCTTACTTGCTTTTGGTTTTAGTGCGAGACTCCTGTGGGGCCAGCCATCGGCCATATTGAACGGGGGTAAGATATGTTATTGTTTCGGGCCTGCGAAATTCCGGCTTTTCTTATATTACGCGGTGGAAAGCCACATTCCTGTGCCGCTAACGTAAAATATGGAGAACGTGAAAAATTCCTCTGTGTAGGAATGGCGAACATCTGTTTTTATCATAATAGGAGGAAAGGCATTAAGCATTTAAAGTTTTGGCCATGTGGGATAGCTGTAAATTCTCCTAATATAAGTTTGGTTTTTTACGTGCTCTCTAAGGATTTACTTCGCCAGCTACAGCGAATATAAGGAATACATCAAGGAAAGGTACACGCGATAGGAAAACATTGTGTCACTGTTTGTCATTTTGCGATAAAATGTGTTTGTGATTGAGTCTTGTATTGCCAATAGTAGATGTAGGATGCTTTGTGTTTCATTGTTTCATTATTTTCGCTGCTTAGTGTTTTGTGTGTGGTGGGTGTAAATATACTTTGGCAGTCATAAGATGGCTGCCATACATTAGTCCATGTGTTGTCGGTAAGTATCCATGCACCACCTATGCCGGGGCACGCAACACACGTGAGCTTGATATATACTGTCTTTGGTTGTGCATTTAAAGCACAGTTGTTCGCCGATTCTCGTTGCAGTTCAACGGTCGCAGCCGCATCTCCATCAAAAACGGCTAATGGCACAGCACCAGTAGAAATCAGGTAACTCACAATATGTCAGTGCATGCAATGACAGGTGAACATGCTGCTAGCCTGCAACAATGTCGCGAAAATGCAGGAGGGAGGGCCCTTGAAATATGCGAGGAGGGCCATTGGGCAGGATACTTATCTATGAGATAGTTGCAAAGACCAGGATTCCCCCAATATAAAGAGAGCCCCTGAAATAGTTCATAAGATTGCCCCCAGCATAAGAAGAGACTCTGAGATAGCCCTCGACATAAAGGTAGCCTCTATGGTAACCCTCACAATAGTAACCCCTAGGATAACCCCCAACATAAAGAAGCCACTGAAATAGCCCTCCTGACAGTGAGATGAATTGATGTAGAACTGACCCTGACATAGAGCTCCTAAGATAGCCAGCAACATAAAGGTAAAATAAAGCCGGCAATGCTAGTGACCTAACACAAAGGGAACCCCTACAATAGGCCCACAACATAAAGAAACCACTGAAAGAGCCTTCAACCGGAAGTTAAACCCTGAGATAGCTCCAACGTGAAGGTAGCCCTTATGATAGCACCGCCCCCCACAACACCAAGATATTCCCAAAAATAATTCCCAAAGGAAAGATGGCCCCTATGTTTCCCCCCACACCGAGATAACCTCTAAGATTGCCCACAGCACTACGATAGATAGCCTCAACACTAAGATGCAAATTATTATGTATCTGTCATCATTGAGAATAATCTGCTTTGCAGTGGCTTTATACATATGTGGGTGGTCTCTGAGTTGGTTAATGTCTAGTCTGTCATCATGTAAGGTTACACAAAAGTTGAAGCCAGCCTATGTAACGAACACGTGGGGAACCTAACGAGTGGAATTATTACAGCACTAAGCTCCTATTCTGGTCGTATTCTTGCATCGTGTTCTAATGTGTGCTTGATTGTGTATCGTGCTCATGTGCAACAAGTATTCATACCAGTTGTCTAATTCTCTGCTAGGAATATGCTGTTTTCTGTCTTTGTACACGTTTCTTGTGTGTTCGTATGGCTCTGTCTAGTAGATCAGCAGGTATTTATGTTAGGCAGAAAACCTGTCTAGTGCAAGTCTTTTCTGTGTAGTAAAATCATTTATGATACTATTTATTGCTCTTCGTCTGTAAATGTGCATTGTTCTACTATCCTGAAGTATAGTAAGTCATGTAAAATAGTGAATTATATATATATAATAACATAATTACAACCTGCATTGGCTGCTCCTCTAAGTGCATTGCATGTCTGTGAAATTATTTTTAGACACTAATTGCTCATCTTAGCATAGTTACCTTTTTTCATATTTATACTTTTCTTTTAGCTGCTGTGTCTGTAGCCTATAGTCTTTCTCTGACTTTCCGTAACAGGACTCTGAAAACCACAACATTGAAGCGTTCTGGCAGTCCTCACTTTATGTCTCCTTGGATAAACGCTGTGTAAGTCGGTGCTCAAAGATTTGTCACTTGCAGATGTGACCGTCGATGTGGCCATCGATGCTGTTGCCATGGCTACGTTTACATCACGTCCTTCTTCCTATGCTCTGCAGCACACGTCCCATGTTTGCAATGCTAGTGGCTCGATTCGGCCTGATTCACTAAATAATTAGATAAAGATGCATTATAGAGCTTCACTTTCACATGGCTTTACTTTCCGTCACCCCAATTACTCAGCTCTGAGCTCTGTGAGCTTTCCAGATGTATAGCTGTGGCAAAAGATGTAGGTTTTAGGCTAGTGTATGCTATGAGCTAGTGTGGCTGTGACTGGTGTTAAAAATAGGGCTCATGTTAATGAAAATATTCGAGGTTGAGTATTTATTGTAAATGACATGGGAAACACAAGACGATTAGAATGGGAGTGGATTTCAAATTTAATTATCAGATTTTGTATTAGTTACTAGTAATTTAGAACAATCTCTACAAGAAAATCTAATAAAAATAAGATAACATTTCAAATATTTAAAACTTGCTAGCTTGCTGCAATTTCTTAATTAAAATAAGTTGCTTAAATATGCAAGTAATATTTAAATGAGTTTAACCATCATTACCCATCATTAGCATGCGTTATTATATATCACTATTCCACATTCAGTGTGCTCATGTCTGGTAATTGTTGGTTACAAATGTGTGAAATTTATAATGAACGATTTATTTAACGATCAATGGTCGTCACCATGATATCCTGTGTCTCCTCTTTCGTCAATGTTTCCTTTCAGTTTTCGTTTACATATAACGATGTGTAATCTATATGCGTTCGTCAGACTGATCCCTGTTTGTAGTGTCGTTCCTAGTTTACTAACATCTATATGATCAGTGGCTACGCCAGCCCATAAAATGGTCAAACACGAGTAAGCAGGGCACTTTGTCACGAATTGAGAATTGAGTCGATTGTACCATTTTGCAGGAATCAGGAGAAGACTACGGCATCTCTCGTCCGTGGCTCTCCCTCGCGACAGCAGCAGCAGCAGCAGCACAGGGTAGCGAATAGCAGATCACCTGTTCCAATTTGCACTAAACAGTTAACGCCTGTGAGTCGGCACACGAGTAATGCTCATCGTGATAGCGATGTAGACAGCATGTTTAGCACAGACAGCGGTGCATGTGACGAGTTCATGTCCGTATGTATGCGTTTATTATTACATTTATTTTTTTATTTTTTTATTTCTCTCGGTACTAATTTTTTTAGTGTTTAACTAACGCATTTCTAGTTTGGCATTTATATTAATATTTCAGTAGATTAGATTAATCATTATATTGTCATTTCTATAATATTATATATATTATATATATATATATCATATTGTATTATTATTTCTATTATAAGTATTTTAGCAGTGCTTGCGTATCTGCTACTCTCAATGAGGAAAACACATAGACTAGCTGCAATCACTTTAGACACTGATAAGTCTATGATATTGCACTATCCCTAATTTAACGTGTGTGTACTTGCATGCTTGCATGTGTAAATGCACAGGTCTCGCTGTCTCTCCTGTCAAATGACTTATTAGTAGAGCATGCTGGTGGTTAGTTAGTAATAAGTAGCTTCTCTACACAGATTTTGACTAGTTGTCAAATGTGAATATTCAAAAAGATTGATTCAAAAAGCAATAGGTTTGAAATGCTTTTTAAACGTAGTGTTTAAACAGCCTGAAACCTTTAAAAAACTTAAACTAACGTTCTCGTTTTTTACCAGTAGTAGCTTTAGGAGAACGTACTTAACTGTTACCACAAGCAGCTGTCTGTTCTCTGTGCGTGCTCATTAAACTTAAGCTTAAGCCATTACGTGTTACATGGTCTTTTTATTATCCACCGTTTCGGAACGAGTCGGCCATAAAAACCTCGATGTAAAGTTAGTACACGTTGTAAAAAGTGGTAAGACGGTCGGGCATATTCACGCAACCGACGAATTCCTCGGATGATTAATTTCTGCTAGAAAGTGTTTACAACATTGAAATCAATAAGTAAAAGAAGAAGCATAAAGTAGTAGTGGCTGTTGTTTACAAACTGAAATGTAAACATAACAAAACTCGATTATGTTAAATCGGAGCTCCGCGTTTTGAATAAGGTAGATATTTCGTTTGCCGACCTGCTGTCTGTGTGGCTTGGGACTTATTGTATACTTGTATACTTACGTTTTTCACTGACCTTTTGTCTACGTCTGTACGCCGTAACAGGAGGAGGAGTTCCGCCAGAAGAGGGAGGCACTTGTGAACCAGACGCGGCAGCAGGCGATGCTAGCGCAGCGCCGTCTGGAGGAGCAGCGAGTTCGCATGAAGCAGATACAGAAGGATGCCGTGCTCAACTACGTCCGTGTAAGCGCGCGCCGAATGCTCTCCTGTTACTCTGATCACCAATGATCATCTTACTCTGAGTGCTGATACAGTTCTTGATCACTGCTGGAGCGAAAAATATTTTGTGAACTCTGTGATAGTTTGAAAAATCCCTAAATAGCGCCGTTCGTGAGAAGTGTGGATATAACGTGATATAATAGTGTGATATAATAGTGTGATATAATAGTGTGATATAATAGTGTGATATAATAGTGTGATATAATAGTGTGATATAATAGTGTGATATAATAGTGTGATATAATCGTGTGATATAATCAGGAGTGTATAATGTTGATAGAGTATATTATACACTCCTGTGATAAAGAGTTAAGCTCTAATAAGCAGTAATATAGTTGAAAATTAAGTACGCATCTGATCATTGTTTGTAGTGGAAACAAACATTTCGTACTCTTGTAAACCGGTATTCATGTTGTGCACCTCTGCTGACACATCTGACACATTTTTACTTGGGGCATGATTGTTTTGGAATGCTCGTGATTTTAAACATAGGCACTCTGGATTTGTACAATTTTTTGGAGCCCATTTTCAGAATCATCATAAATAGTTATGGCTACTGTCATAAGTATAAAATGTCATTGCTTTTGCACTATACTTAATTAAATAACTAACACTTAATACACAATTAAAAATTTATGACATTTTAGGCATATAATGTCAGACATGTTTATGATGATACTGCAAACAGGCCCATAGTTTATTAACCTCTCTCCTAGCGAGAGCATGAAGGGTTATGTGTTGCGCTGAGGTTTCTCTTGGCCGTGCTGCAGAGGACATCAACTAGTGGTAGCCCGGAGAAAGAGCTAGCACCCTCGCCCTCACCCGAGCGAGGATTCAGTCCCCAGCAACAGCTTGCTGCTACCATGCCTGACAGCCCACAGCAAAGTAACTTGCCCAAGTCTCGACCGGGTAAATACATTCTCCAATAAGTTTAAAATAATTTTTAATAATTAAAGCTACCTCTTAATATGCTGCTGCATTGTTCCCACGCTGCGAGGGACGCCATGCGCCCTGTGGGCCGGACAAGTAGTCATCTCACCTCTTTCCACTCTTCTCTCTTATCGCCACTTCTTATCTTCTTATCTTCCAATCTTATCTTCCATTCTTCAAAGTGGTCATCAGGGCACCTTCTGCCTGTAGTTGCCTGGCAGCGCTTAATGTAGCGCCCTCTATCTTGCAGCGTTCACGCCGCCGAGCACGATGCGAGCGGTGGACGGCGCCGAACCCAGCTTCACGATCCGACGTCGGCTCGACCACCGCGATGAGAAACAGCGGCAGATGGAGCAGCTGCGCCATGTGGGTTCTCAGTCTTCCTTTCTTTCTTTTCCTCCTCCTTATTACCGTCCTCCTCCTCCTCAGTACTATCCTCCTTGTCCTTCTCCTGCTCTGCCTCAGTACTATCCTCCTCCTCTTCCTTCTCCTCATTACCATCGTCCTTCTCCTCCTTCTGCTCTGCCTTATTACTATCCTTATTCTCCTCTTGCTCTGTCGGCTCCTCCTAATCATCAACATCCTCTAACTCATCATCTGGATTCTTGACTTTGGATTTTGAACCCTGGTGCTTAAAAATAACTAAACTTTATTGATTTTTGAAGCTTTAAATTTTGTTTTTAAGTTTTGAGATTAAAATGTATATCTGTAATGTACACTAAGAAGACGTGGCATAGCATTTCACAAAAGATTTATGGGGCAGGTTGACATCGACTGAATAGCAGTATGGTACTCATTTAATTCTGATAATAATTTGCATGTTACTAATATATGCCGACGTTTTCTTGCATTACAGAACATAGAAAGCCGGTTAAAGGTCACGCTTCCAGGTGACCTGTCAGCAGCCTTGCTGGATGGAGTAGTTCTTTGTCACCTTGCCAATCATATCAGGCCTAGATCTGTGCAGAGCATTCATGTACCGTCGCCCGCCGTGGTAAGTCTGCTAGTAGTGTCCCACTGTAGGCGTTAGGTTTTTGTCTAAGCTCATCATAGAATATAGGGCTTTGGCAGCCATGTTACTTTGGTTTCTGTAACAAGCTTTACCCAGCAAATCTATCCTTACCCCAGGTATGATGTATACCTCATTCTTTAGCAATATGCGTCATCATTTAACTCATGTCATCGATTGCGTGATAAAAACTATATGATTATGTATGCCTTCAGCCAAAGCTGTCTCTAGCCAAGTGCCGGAGGAACGTAGAGAATTTCGTTGAGGCATGCAGGCGAATAGGAGTTGACGAGGTAGGTGGAACTTGCGATTGCATGTAGTAAACTTGTTTAGTGGAAGGAGAGCGAGGGAAGTGGCTTCGTCTCAATGGGCAACCAGCAGTTGGTTGTTGGATGAAGGCAAGGGTATAGCTAGCAACTAGGATACAAAGTTACATCAGTGGCTGCGGGGTTTCTTGAGCTCTCACAGAGGTTGGCAGGGACAAGGAAGCACGTGTTATTTGCACACAGACATACTTCTGCGTTGTCGAAAACTTCTGGAAAAATTTATTTAAGAAGCCATTGAATGAGACATGCATCTCAATGAGGTCTCAGTCGGCGGTGACCCTGGATGAGGCATGCAAGTCTCAGTGCAGTCTCAGTTGACATTGAATCTCAATGTGACCTGTTCACCTCGGTGCCATCTCAAAAAATTCTGCAGCCCAGATGTATACCCATTTACATACAGGGTATATATACAGGGGCTTGTCACTCAGCTAGAGTACTGAGAAATGGTTATCGTACTGCCTGTTGTACACGAATGCAAAAGCACCAAGACACTCACAGTCTCAAGTGATGGTCTTGGGTATCGTTCGTTAGACGTAGGTGTGCATTTTGTTTTTTTCTCTCGGTGTATCGCTGTTTGTCTTACATTTTCTTACTGGCTTGCATCTACTTCTTACGTGTTTTCTATTCATTCCTGTCGTTGACTGCGTGTGCTGACACTGTGTTCCAACAGTTGCATGCAGCCTCTTGTTGCCGCAAGGCTATTTTACAAGCCAGATTAGATCACGTGAAATGGATTGCCGAGAGCCAGGTGAATAATCTTGCTGGGCAAGTTATGGGTACGGACTGCGCGCTCATTGCGTTATAGGTGATAAGTGAATGGTGTTGTGGTGGCTCGTACGTTGCATGACGACTGTGATGTCGTGCGTAGGGATGACCTTGCCATTCCATGACCTTGTTTCGTACCTTGTTTCTTCCTCTCCTCGTCTCCTTAGTTTTGTTGTCTCTGCGCTCCGTACGTGCCCACTGCTCACAGTTATTCTTAGTTCTGCGGCATATATCTTTTCTCTGTCTCCCTGTATCTATGATTTTGTGATTTCGGTGTCCAGGTTTTCGTAAAGTATCAAAACACAGGAGGATCTTTGATTACGGTGTAACGATGCAGTGGTACACACGCAGTGGTCACTGGGCTGGTAGCTTGTCTCGTGGCTGTCACTGCTAGCGTACATAGGCGGTGGGAGCTACAGTCTTCCACTACTGTCTGTCTATCTGTTTGTGTATCTGTCTGTCTGTCTGTCTGTCTGTCTGTCTCTGTCTGTCTCTCTGCCTTGTCTCTCTGTCTGTTTGCCTGTTAGGATGTGTATCTGATGTCTCAGAGTGTTCTGGAGCTTTGTTGGAAAAACATGGCGATAGCGCGATGGTCTGCATAGGATATAATGAACATTTACTTTGCTCTATTGCAGCAAGAATTTGTAGACTTTGACCATATTCGTTACCATATATGCTGTTTCAGTATGAAGCTCCAGGTCATCGTGTAGATGCTATCTATATTCACTGTCATGTTTCACAGCATAAATGAATAAAGACGCATTGTTTTTGCCCGCTGTTCCAATGTGTTTAATGCCGAGTGTGCATATTTACTCACCAGATGTCAGCATCTGCTTATACACTTCTCACTGGGCACGGCATATATCGTCAATTCTATATTAATAATTCAACCATGCATAGATGCTGTACATTTTCTTCACATGTGAAATATCGATGTCTAATCAAATTCATGCTTGCACAATGAAAGCTATCTTGCTTTGCCACCCAGCAGTGGTGTTAGAACGCGTGTTAGTGAGTCCTTTAATGATGACTTCTTGGGTATATTTACATAATAGTTTGATATAATTTAGGATATTTTTGTAAAAATGGAAATATTGTATAATATCTAAATCTAAATCTAGTAAGATATAATATCGACTGCACCGGAAAACCTATTTCTGTAAGTTATACTTAAATATTTATATTAACACTAGTCCTGGTGTGGGTTGTAATATTGAATTAATATAGACTAGAAAAGTAGAATTGTAGATTTCATAGATTATTCTCCTTGAAATAATTTTTTTGTTAGAATACTCATATTGGTAGACAGCGTGAAATATAATTCTTTAGTAACCCTTTAAATAATACTGACCTTAAAAAATAGAAGTAACGTTTAATAACGAGAGATGTGAGTTTGATAGACTGTGTGTCTATAACCTGAGCCTAGTCTGCAGCAGCAGTGCTAACCATCTCTGCTGCCATTGCCCTCGATGTTTACTCATAACTTCTCATATTATTCAAAAAGAACTGATGGATGTCCGCTCCATTGTTTTAAGCTGTGATGTTCAGCATATTCGTTCAGACCTAGTTCGTTTACAAGCCTACGGTGTTCGCTCGTTTGTGTCGTGTTTAGACATTTTCCTGTTTCTACTACAACAGGTGAACGAGCGATATATATATATATACTGTAGTCCCACCACCACGAATATATATATATATATATTATATATATATATATATCAAGAGCTAATAATACCTAATAAGGTATAAATACTAAATAAGGTATTATTAGCTCTTGATATATTATATGTATGCTGCTATAGGTACGTAGTTCTATATGCTGCAGGCACGGTGACGGTTGACACTCCTCTGGTGATGGTTCGCACTCTCTCTCTCACACTGTCACTCTCTGACTCGCGCTCTCCGCCCTCTGTGCGCTGTGCTAACTCTCACAGTGCGTTTCTTCGCGTGTGTTTGTTTGCAGGGCTTGCTGTGTGCATGCGACGACGTAGTCGAGGAGTTGAGTATGTTACGCGTCGCACGCACGGTGAACGCGCTCGCACGCAGGCCTCACAACATCACGACACGCGACAGAGTGCTGTCCTACGTTCTCATGCTCGTCTTTCTCATCGTCTGCTACATGCTGGGTTTCCATCCGCCCGGTTAGCGGGGGAGTGTGTGTGTGTGTTGTGTGTGTGTGTGTGTGTGTGTGCGTGCGTGCGTGCGTGCGTGCGTGTGTGTGGGCGTGTTGTGTGTGCCTGTGCATGCGTGGGTGTGCTTATGCCTGTTTGCGTGTTGTGTGTGTGTTGTGTGTAGTGTGTGGCCCGCGGTGTTGTGCTGGGCGTGCGTGCGTGTTTGTGTGCGTGCGTGCGTGCATGTGTATATGCCCCTGTAATGGTCACCTGGTCAATCTCCGAGTTGCTGCAGCGATAGAGAGAGCCACCTCTGACCTTGAACTCTGACCTGCCACCCCCTGATAGGTAGAGATGCGCATTCTTCTGTTTTGTGCAATTATGTCTGTTTGCACGAGTCGGAGATCAGGTACTGATGTCGGCGCGCAGATTCAGTGAGCGACATTTTGTCGATAATATAATAGCTCTCGTTGTGTTCCACATAACGCAGTAGTGTATAATAGTACTGCTAATCATTCCAGTAGAAACTAACGGTAGCTAACTATACTAACCCGTCTGTAGTAATTGTAGTCTGCTAGTTGTGGTTTTTTTTGCGATTTCTAGTCTCGTTGCAGGCAGTAACACTAGGCAGGTGTCATTTAACCTATACACATTGCAAATGTACAATTATACGTGCCAATACTGTTCATACATGCCACTGCTCAGCGTCCATGCAGCGAACACATTTTGCTAGGGACAAAATTGCACTTTTTAACTGTGGTAATAAAAAATAATAATTAAAAAACTGTCCTAGTCATTACATAACTAAGGTGCTGAACATGATATATACTGATGAATATTATCCTATACTGTGAGGCCACCATTTCGGTATGTGATACCTGATGTACCCTGTAACGTGTGTGCACTTTGTTCATGTTCCTAACGAGATCTGGACATGAGTGGACTTGCCCAGGGTATGGTGGTGCAATGTAACCTGTGTCAGTGCAGAGAAGAGGTGATAGTCGCGAGTTTGTAACCGAGGAAATTATATAACGTTTTGTGTAGAAGATGGAACGTAGTTTATGCAGTCAGAATTCGATGGTGTTCGTGATTGTTACTTGGTTGTTCGGTTGATTGTTGGTGCTCATTCCAGTGATGTTACGACTTGTTGCTCGCCGTACACCTATTGGCTGCACAGCGTGCAGCTACAGCCAATTGTGATCGTATGTTTTTTTGTGTGTATTCTTCAAGCACATTCTAGCAGTGATTGGTCAAAAGTGACTACGAGCCCGTGACTTCGCTGTGACAGTTTGTGCAAATCGTATATCCTCTGCTGTCCTCCTGCGTATATTGATACTTTACGGCTGCTGAATCCGTGGGTATGTGTGTGAAAGGCGTGCTTTGAGTGTACCGTGTTGAGGGCTGATACATTGTGTTTAGGTTGTGAAGATTGTAGCAGGGTACGCAGAACATTTTTTATAATCTGCTTCAGAACCATTCTCGTGGTAACTGCAGTATTTACAAAGCACTGCTTTCACACACGCACGCGCACACAGCGGCGGCTGGAATGATGAACAAGTATATATATATATATATATATATATATATATATATATATATATATATATATATATATATATATATATATGCAAGCGTGCGTAACGATGAGAACATTTTATGATAAATAAATGTGTGTGTTTTTGATGATGCGCGGACACCGTGTCGTCGGTAGTCTAGAGACAGCAGGATGATGTTGATGATGTGACAGAGTGACGAGGCACTAGGATGCTGAGTGTGCGTACGTGCGAGTGCGTGAGGGTGTGTATGTGTTAGTGTAAGCTCGATCACTAAAACTTGCGCATGGTGTCTGTTTACAAAAGAACATTAATTGTTCTCTGTTATATTTTTCTGTGTTTCTACCTGGCCAAAAGTGTTGGCTTATTTTTCGTGTTGAAACTGTGTCAGTGTTTAAAGTTTGCCAACACACGTATAGAATTAGCAATGGACTGTATACCTTCCAATTTCACGTCTTTAATGCGGATTTTATAGTGTTAAAGATGTTTTATTTTGAATTGCAGTAGACATTTTTCTTTATGGTTGTATTTCCCTATCACCTCGCTACCACATATGCTCTGTACACCTGTTTGTACCTACTGTGGCTGCTATGGAGCTTGTCTCTCTAGCATGAATTTAATTTGCATGTCTTTCTGCATGTCTTATTCTTCTTGTACTTGCTTTGTGTGTTTGTGATGCGTACGTGTGCGATTTATTTTTCGTTTATGCAACTGTTACACGTGGACACACATCTACATGGGGTTATGCCAGTGTTTTGGAATACGGTGTTTAAATATCTGTTAATCTCTCTCGTTTGATATTGTGCTAATGCTATATTTGCAAGTGATAACTAACAGACATAGGAATTTAGTTCATATTTACTATCAAATAAAAACATACAGATACACGATAAATGTCATGCTAATAATGCGCATTCCAAATTTCATAACTGCATGCACACGCAGTATAAAGTTAAATCAATTAAGGAATATAATTTGAGCAGTTAGCAGTTCACGTGTTGTAAGATTGACAAGGCAGATGGTATAAATAAAGCTTATTTTCTTCGTTACATTCTCCAAGATAGTGAAAAGTCACAATTCACTTTAATTTAATAAATAGGAGTATATGATTATTTTTTATGTTTTACACATTTACATTTATAAAGAATTCTTTGTAATTGTCTGGATTTGCGTGACCATAATATTAACATAACTTGCAAAACTAGTAATAGCAGCACAATAACTCGCAGAGCCTTAGGCCAAGCAAAATTATCTGCTTTTTCTTGTCCTATTACTTGGAAAATAACAGTTTTAGTAGTAAAATTATCTTAGATAAGCACACTACCCGAGAGAGGTAGACATTAAAAAATGTGTTATGACCACACTATATAACCGTTCATCCCGGAATAGGCAGTGGTGGCATTCATGCTAGTGTACGGTTTCACACTTTGTTTCAACGGTTTATTGTCTGTCTGTTTTTTTGCAATGCTCGCAAACAGTAATGAACTTTGGGGGGTGGAAAGGTGCTTCGCTATAGATTGCCGCAGCAGTGTTGTCACAGTTCTTTGTATGTTGTAGCATGCGTGCATGGATGTTTATGTTAGAGCTTACCATGTTTGTTTCTTTCAAAGGAGCACCTGTGTCTTTCCCACCATATCATAGAGGAGAAAAACATGGTTCGAGTTGGCGCCACCGTGCAACATATGATTGAATGTGCTAAGCAGACGACTTGCTAGCACTGGCCACCAGGTAGCGCTGCATTGAGATGTCATTCCATCTGGCTGTCATTTTCAAGAAAGCTTGTATAGAAAGGCTCCCATGCTACGTGCTTGGCGTGTGTAGAGGGAACGATTATTTAATTGTGTAAAATTTACTCATGAAACCTCTTGTAAGTTTTACGGTGAAATCAAAGACGTTAAATCGGACGTTAATTTCGAAAGATATTTTTTTGCAGTTTTGTTTATACGAAGAGCATTCAACGGGAAATAATGTTACTGATACAGAATATATCGATTTGAGAAGACTTGTGATTAATTGGTATAAGGACTGAATTTGTTTTTGGAGATGCCAGTCTGAGAAGTCGATTCTTCCGATCAGCAGTTGAAAGCTTACTCGATTTGTATAGACAGCTGAAGTCAGATACCATGGCCAGGATTTCCGGGGTTGCATCATAGGTTACAGGTACATGTACACCTGCAAATGATGGCAAACTCAACTAGTTCGATAATGTTTATAAATCAATATTAAGAGTGCACTTTAATAGTTGCCACTTAAGATGCTTTTTGTTTAAAAAAATGTATAGCTACGTATATAGAACTTGGGAACCCTGGCCATGTCAAAGATGGTATCAATGTTTGCCTTATTATTTTAAATGAATGAGAAGATGATGGTTATGACAGGTCGAAAGTTTTATTTTGGGGCTGAAAACATACGCAAGCATTCAGGTACTGTGTATAAAGTGTTGCTGCTGAGCTTGTACCGGCTCTTAAGTCTTTACAATTCCGCATGCAAATTCTCGCAGGAATTTGTCAAAAGGAGCAAGAACCTTTGTTGTTTGGGTTAAAATACTGGTAAAGTTGTATATATAATAATATGCCTCTAACTTGAAACGCCATAGATCTCAATTTTCTTGCTAATGCTGTTTGTTTTTGTGCACAACTACAAGCTAGCTAATATATCCACTGTAAATTTTATCACCCCTTATTTATTTAATAGCAAGTGGTACGGAAATTAAAAGCTGTAGATCAGTTTCTACTGTTCTTTTTATCGATTAATTCTTTTGCTGAGACAATTATGGTCGTGCACACTACGTATTGCCAATGTTTCTAAACCATGTATCTGGTAAATGTAATTAACTAACAATGAAATCATGTTACGTTTACCGTGCCAGAAAAAGCCAGAGTTCTTCGTTTTTATTTGATTCTGGTGTATGACAGCGGAGATGTTTTTTAATGCTGGTATTTATGCTGAGCAATAATATACCCAATGAGATGGGATTTTATGAGATAATGCTAAAAGCGTTTAATATAAGCTGGTGTTCTAAGCGAGTGGTTAAATCGTAATGTTTTCGAAGGTATAATGAAATTGCAATCGCGCAGAGTAATCCACAGTAATAGCCTGAAGAATAATGCATGGCATGTTTTCTCAATCTTCTCATCAGGTACTCGCTATAGTGTTAGAGCTGGGTATCACAGCTGAGTGTGAGAGCCTGCATACTATTGCTCTACAGCTTAAAAATTAAGTGCTTAATCACCAGTTTTGTTGACTCTGAGGTAAAGATAGCAGCACCCGTAACGTCGCTTTAACTTATGATCTAAGCAGCATAACCAGCTGTAGTTTCTCGCCGTGCTTAGTATGCTTGCATGATTGCATTCAGTGTGGCTAGGCTGCATTCAGTGTGACTAGGCTGCATTCAGTGTGGCTAGACTGCATTCAGTGTTGCTAGGCTACATTCAGTGTTGCTAGGCTACATTCAGTGTTGCTAGGCTACATTCAGTGTTGCTAGGTTGCATTCAGTGTGGCTAGGCTACATTCAGTGTTGCTAGGCTGCATTCAGTGTTGCTAGGCTGCATTCAGTGTGGCTAGGCTGCATTCAGTGTGACTAGGCTGCATAATGCATTCAGTGTGGCTAGGCTACATTCAGTGTGGCTAGGCTGCATTCAGTGTTGCTAGGCTTATTTCAGTGTGGCTAGGCTGCATTCAGTGTTGCTAGGCTGCATTCAGTGTTGCTAGGCTGCATTCAGTGTTGCTAGGCTGCATTCATCGTTGCTAGGCTGCATTCAGTGTGACTAGGCTGCATCCAGTGTGGCTAGGTCGCATTCAGTATATAGTTATATTGCATTCAGTGTGGCTAGGCTGCAATTAAGTGTGGCTAGGCTGCATTCAATTTAGACAATGACGCACTCCTGTTCTGTCCTCTATATGCTGTTCGTATAACGTAATAATTGGTCCGTTTAAATTTGCTTAAATCCCTACTGTTAACCATATCGTGTGAACGAACGTTTTTCCTGCACGCAAAATAATGGATTATCGGGAAAAAAGTCTGTAATTGCGTGGGTGTATGGTGGAGGCTCGTTGAACAGTGGTCATGCTTATAGAGATAATGTTGCATCGGAGTTCGCGGCCATATAATCGTGGCCGACTCCGAAAGTGCAGCAAAAATTTTAGCTCGCAAGTCGCGGAGTCAAAGTAATTTAACGTTCCGTTGTTTTCATCGCTACGCTTCTGTCACCGCTGTATCTATGTGGACCGCTTGCGAGTCTCACAGACGGGTTTTTAAGCACTAGAATGGAGGCAGGTGTTTCTCCATGGAGATTTTATCCGTGTGCTTATATAAAATAAAATGTAGGTTTATGTTTTGTGCCACAGAGGCCTTTATGAATTTCTTGATGGCGATCGACTCGTCCGAACATGTTTTTTACGTTTTGATCACACGGGACGGTGATGCCTTGAAGGTTAATTAAGATTACAGTCAAGGACGCGTGACCGGACGAAGGAAATTACAGTTATATGAATTTGTGGTGTGAAGTTTTTGGATGAAAAACCCAGGGTCGAATGGCTTTGGTCCGTATCGGGCAATGGGTCGTGTATGGGTTTATATAAGAATGAGGAACATACATTTGAAATGCAGAGGGGATCGAGTGCATTGAATAGAATGTGATTTTACTTTGTAAGCAAGAGCCTGAGTTGTAGCTCAGTAAAATGTAATATAGAGCTTGATTATTATTAGCAAACAATAGTTCCACATTGCCGGACTTTTAACATTTACCTATAACAACAGTATTTATTGCAATATTTGTTTATGTTGATATAAACTGATTAATTATATTATTATGTATATATGCTGGCATACAGAGTGTGAGATTCTGAAATTTGTTCATAAATTTTATCCCAATTCCCGTTTTTGTATTACATCCTGTGTATCTTTTTCGACCGCGTTCATATTGATCGATGGCCCCTAAGATAAATGGTTATCGTGCAAATGCTATCAACGTTATCGGAGAATACATAATTTAATAAGAGAATGTTCGTCATTACTCTCCCACACTTTTTGCATCTTGCACGCGCTACCGACCAGGTTGGGAATTTTTGTTAGAAAAATCGTTTTGTTTGGTATCTGGGATGCCATATCGTTTCTCTAGCAACACCCACCACAGACTTCAGAGCCTCACACTAATGCCAGAGCATGTAGATCATGGACATTTATGTGCTCTACTGTCAACTAGTGTAACAGAGTATTGCATCGGAGGGTCGGCCACACGTCTACGGTGGGTGGGATGCCGTCACGCACTGTTATAATACACACAGCTATGCTCTTGCAAATTCAAATAATTTTTGCTGCTGTACATGTATTGAAAACTGTAAGTAATATTTTGTAAAGTAGCATATTATAATACAAAATGATATTATTAAAAAAATGAACCGGTTATGCGTGTTTCTTTCTGTGTACCAATGTCTTAGAATTACAAGCCGAACCAGATGATAACCACATTCTTATGCGGTCAGGCAAATGAGCCTCGCCGGTTGCCAATATGAAATTAATAATTTATTTTAAGTTGAAACTCGTGCCAAGAAACCCCTTCCCCTCAGTATTTGCCTGGCGCTCTCCCAAATGGTATCGCCTACGACCTTGTTAGCACGGTGAATTCTGTCCAGGTAAATGTCCGGACATTTTTCACACCCCCCCCCCCAAAGCACAAAATGTGGATATACGGCTATAATACGCGCTTTTACATCCACACAAACACGCATACACACACGCTAACGGACGCGTGTATTATAGGCGTAAATTAACATTTTGTGCCTCGGGGGGGGGGGTAAAAGTTTCGGCTAAAATACGGCCATTTGGCTGGCTAACTTTTCACCGTGCGACTGATGCCGTGGGCGATACTATCCGCGAGAGGGGAGTAAGGAAGTGAGCAAGGGAAAAAACGGAGAAAGGCGTGCATGTATAGGTATATATACACTCCTATATACCCCTATTATACACTCCTGATATATATACATATATATTATATATATGTGTGAGTGTATATATATATTGATTATCAATGCCAATAAAATGGCATCACAGGCACATAGAACGTCTCAATAAAAAGAAGGGCGTAGCTACGCGACCGGTTCCGGACGAGGAGCCGCTAGGCTACGCGTCCGGACATCCATCTTACCAAGAGTACATAATAGAGATAATAGTAATCTCCCGGTTCCGGACGCGTAGCCACTGCGTAAAAAGAAATAATGGTAAATAAACACGAAATGTATTTACTACCAAAGTCTTAATGTTTTTCTACTCTATTTCGCCTATTATTGTCGATAACTTGCTCTAAATGCCGTTCAAATGCTCTTCTGCAACACACAAGTACACCGCACGCACGCCCTGTGCACAAACAACAAGAATAAGAGAGTTTCGTGTTTATTTACCTTTTTTTTATTGAGACGAGCTTATTTTTAGCTGAGCTATGCAGTATAATGAGTATGCTCAAATCACGGAGTTTTTCACGGTTCATCGTTATGCCGCCAGATGTGGTTTTAGGGGATGTGATATACACTGTTAGACACAAAAAGATGATGGCCAAAATCGTTCTTTACTTTGTGAATATGTGTAAAGTTAAGCGAGGTCTACTGATAGAATGTCATCATATGAATCGATGCTAGAATATCTCCTCTCCATTTTAAATGCATAAATTTCTCAAAATATTTCACTGTGATATATTAATACTATTTATAAAGAATCAAGTGTAGCGACCTACTGAGTACTCCAACGTGAAGTTTGTTGGTAGTGCTGCGGTGCTACATCTACATCTAAGTCTTAGATCTACAACACCTGAATAAGGTCGTAAGACATTTACTGGTGAATATTTTCCACATTCTGAGTAAAATGAGACACTTTTAAATGTACATTTAACGCGTGGTTGCTGATAATATTAAATTGGTGTGGTTGTATCCGCTCCACACTGGAGTCGCTATAGACACACGCGTGTGGCTGGATGGTAAAGACACACACGTGTGGCTGTATACACTGCCTATATATAAGCCTCGTCTACACGACGACCTTAACTCGAGCAAGCGTCGACACGCGGGCCGGAAAGCTCGAGTTAGCTTAACCGCGCCAGGTGATCGAGGTTAAGCTAACGCGATTACGAATCTAGTGCATAAATTCCACGATAGGCGGCACACACGAGTCACGCATGTACGTTAGCACAACGGCCACGCACGTCAGGCCGCCACGGCACCACACTCATGCACGAACGTGTACGTTGCACACGCACGCCCCGCACGATCCTACTGCACATCGCATGCACGCACGCCACGTATACCTGCACACACACGCACGTCGCACGCACGACACATGCACACACGTGCTACCATGCACAAGCACGCAACGCACGCACGCACGCACAACGTGTTACCTGCCACACACGCACGCACGCACGGGCACGTGCACACACACGGCACGCACGCACGCATGCACGCACGTGACGGGCCACGCACGCCACGGCAGGCCACGACACACACGCCACGGCTACGCACAGCACACGCGCGCACCCACGCACGACGCACGCACGCACGCGTACGTGCACACGCACGCACGTGCGACGTGCACACGCACGCATGCACGCACTGGTAGGTAGGTACACACACACGCAGGCACGTGTACGTCACATGCACGCACGCCACGCATGCACGCACGCCGCCGCACAACGCACGTCGACGTGCAAGCAGCACGCACGTCACGCACGTGTACCTGCACAACACCGCCACGTACGCACGCACGACACACATGCACACAGTGACCTGCACAAGACGCACCACGCACGCACGAACGTGTACCTGCACACGCGCGGCCACACGCACGCACGTGTACGTACACACGTACGCACGCACGTGACGTGCACATGCACATGCTGCGCCGCACGCACGCACGTGTACGTGCACACGCACGCCACACACTCATGCCACGCACGGGTCACGTGCACACGCACGCACGGTAGGTACACACGCACGCACGCCGCACGCACGCAGCACTCACACATGCACGCCTAATGCACGCACCCTGTGCACGCGCACGACGCACGCCGCACCGGGTACGTAAACACGCAGCACGTTTACACTAGACACCGCACGCACAGATGCATAATAAAATCGGGATTAAGCGCGATCGGGTGTTTCGTGTGACGCGACATAATCGCTAACTCGCGTTAACCAGTACACTCGAGTTAGCCTGACATCGAAGGTAGCTTACTCGAGTTAGCGAAACGCGAGTTAAGGTTCGTCGGTGTAGAGAGGCCTAGAAATAAATAAATATATATATATATAGTATATATATATAATATATATTATATGTAGCTATAGTAATACTGCCCGTATATTATATACACATAGACTGTCTTTTATCATACGCATTGAACAAAGAGCAAGTCCGTTTTCCGCGCGATTAATCAATTGATACTGCATTAACTTACGTCAGGTTCGTTTTACTTCTAATTATGCGCCTTTCAAGTTATCAGTTAAAAACATCGACCATAAAATCACAGAGACAAGATGATGGAGATGATTCAGTTCACGTGTCTATTGAACGCGAGAGAGAAGCCAGTCACATCGTGACGAAACCCGTTGTTAATCAGTTCAACGATATATCCATCTGGGTTATTGCATATCTACGCATTTTATAATTAATTTTTACACTAGATGGCGCGACGATGTGAAAATTCAACATATCATCAGAGCATATAAATCAATGATCGTTGATTTATATGCTCTGATATTATTTTTCTAATGCATTGGATGGTGGCGCCTCTAACGGATTACTATATCTCCCTGAGACCTACTCTGTTATTACCACAGTTGGGGCAACAATCTTGAAATGAGAAATTTGAAGCTCATTTTCAAAATTTAGGAAAACGTGTGCCTACCTATTGAGAAATATGCTCAAAGCATATGTGATGATAATGAAGTATTTATTTTAAGTTGAAACTCAGGCCAACAAACTTACAGGTCAGAAAAATATTCTCAGATTTGGGAAAAATACGTATATGTATTAATAACTGCACACTGAACTACTCTGATGATTTCTACATTAAATTCATTTATTGCAATAACAAATACATATTGACCACGTAGCACTTGTCTAGAAAGCTAACTTGGAAGACGTTTAGTTGGTTATTACTACAGTTGGGGCTTCTGACAATCTTGAAATGAGAAATATGCTCAAAGCATCCGTGATGATAATGAAAAAAACAAATTCTTCTGAATGGAACAATTATTGAAATTACCATCCGTAGTATTAACTGAGATATGAACAACCTTTGCACCTTAATTCAGTTTACCTTGCATATATACATATGAAACTAAAGACATCTTCAATACAACCTGCCCACACATTGCAAAAACTATAAAACCCACAACAGATATGTCGAAATTCCTGTCAATAATCATTCGAAGATGCTACAGAAAATTCACAAACAAGCTAAATAAATTACAACAGCAAACATTAAACATGCTTATACACAATTCGTGGGAACATGTGTAAGTAACTGCCCTGTAGTATTTAGATATGTGAATGTAGCAATACTCATCATATACAAACATTCAAGTTGCACATTACAGATTTTTTTCGCTGCACACATCTTACTGTGCACAGGGGACACATTCTCTAAATTGTATATATATGCTCTCACATCATCACCTAACCTATATGAATCACAACTGGTCAACAGCAGTTGTCGAGTATATAATAGACTGTGATTCATTCAGTACTAATGCATATGATCAAGAGCATATAAAGAAGGAGAGCGTACAACGATAAAATGCTGAAACCATGTTGCAGTATTAGTTGAATTAATAAACTTTCCCCGTTTTATTTTGACGATTCTTTGCAGTATTATTGATCAGCTGTCCTACCTTGTGCATATAAAACAAACCGCATGTCCCTACGATGCCCCAGGGTTCATAGTAGTAAGACACATGTTGAAATAAGGACTTATAAGACCTTTTCTGGAGGCCAAAATAAGACTTTTTTATGCGATTTCTGATAGACCACCGACTACAAAACCGTGTATTCTACCGTGTACACTACCGTGTATTAAAGTACACTAATAATATTTATATACACAATGCACAGCAGATTTAATTATTCCGTATTATATATACAACAATTCTTACTCTAAGTCGAGAACAGTTTATAAAACCTAGGTACTTTGGCAAAAAATAAGGACTATTAAGTACTTTTCTAAGATTTCACCAAAAATAAGTACTAATAAGGGCCCTTATTTTATTTTTGGTAAAATAAGTACTTATAAGACTTTGGAAGACCCGCTACGAACCCTGTGCCCCTACGCTGAGATAATAAGCGGTGAAAATCTGGTATTTTCGCGCTGACTCGATACTTTATTACTAAGGGGCGGGTCATCACCATGGCGATAAATAACAAAGTTATTGACGTTTTTGTGGAGTAATGGCTGCATCAATTACTGGAAATGCGAGAAAAGATAGTAGAAAGAAAAACAAAGAATCGTCAAAATAAAACGGGGAAAGTTTATTAATTCGACTAATACTGCAACATGGTTTCAGCATTTTACCGTTGTACGCTCTCCTTCTTTATATGCTCTTGATATGATGAAAAGCTAGCTATTCCTTTGACCTCTAGTACTCAATCTGTGACAATAATACACAATTTACAACATTAAGGTAGAAGGTCGGGGGTGCCAAGTGATAGCAGTAGTACCAGTAAAAATGCCAACATGGTACAAGAAACCATACACATTGAAACTGTCACTGTGATTGAATAACAGCACCCTCCAACTATAACATCAAGAGTGCATAATAGAGAAGAGTATGACACGGTTTTAACAGCGTTTTGCATAGTTTTCAACTTGTAAATATTCTATCAATATGTGAATAAATATATACCTTATTTTCGTCTATGAGTCTCCCTTAATCATATGACACCACCAATTTACCCGAAAATCGTATGTCTTCTTCAAAAAAGTTCTTTGAATACGACACGGTTTCAAACAATTTTTCCACGAATGGCAGCATCTGTTAGGCGAAAGTTCGACCACAGTTGATATGCGGCGGCAGCACCAGGTTGTAATCAACATACAAGATAGAGACAATAGAACACTAATCCTATACTAAACATTCGCCTAACACATGCTGTCATTCGTGGAAACTTCGTGGAAACTGTTTGAAACCGTGTCGTATTCAAAGAACATTTTGAAGAACACATACGATTTTCAGGTAAATTGGTGGTGTCATATGATTAATGGAGACTCATAGACGAAAATAAGGTAAAGTTTGAATATACTTCGTTGAAAACTATGCAAAACGCTGTTAAACGGTGTCATACTCTTCTCTATTATGCACTCTTGATAACATACACCATATACACACGTCTACCTGCCGCCACAATAGTAGACCGAAATCCACACCGATTACAAACAGTTGTACTTTATCGAGTACATAATAGTGGTACTCTACACTACAGAGCTCCCTGCTTCACACTCGACTATAGAGGGCTCTGCTTCACACTCGACTATAGAGGGCTCTGCTTCACACTCGACTATAGAGGGCTCTGCTTCACACTCGTTCTGCTTCACACTCGACTATAGAGGGCTCTGCTTCACACTCGACTATAGAGGGCTCTGCTTCACACTCGACTATAGAGGGCTCTGCTTCACACTCAACTATAGAGGGCTCTGCTTTCCGGCATTGAGCGACAGCGACGACATCTTGCGGTGGAAGCTGAGAGAGGTGCGCAGACGCGAGTCACGCGAGTTGTAGTACTCGTTGAAGTCGAGGCGGAAGCTGAGGCAGCGGAGGCTGATGTTGCCGTGCTCGGTGACCATCAGCAGGAACTGCTGCGTCATGTCCTGCAGTGCGGCGATAATTACGCTAGTTATCGATAATTACCTCATCGAGTTCGATTATCACAGACATTGTTTTAGCTTATTACAGTTAAGTTTACAGTTCATTGCATCATTGACGTGATGTAGCACATGATAGCACTTGCGGCAACCACTTTTGTCATGCAAACGCTTTGTAATGATTCTCTACATTTGTTACAAAATAATCACCAACTTTTGTGACAAAACCAGGTTGTTACTTTTGTAACATAACACTTGTAGTACAAGTGTGTGTAATATTTGTGTTTTGTAAAGAAATGGAAATACAAAACTGATACTTTTTTTTACGAAAACCTGAACATTTGCTATTACAAAAATGGTGAACTATAACGAATAATTTTTTCCGTCACAAGTGTTACCGCTATATTATGCCCTTGATGACAGAAACTGTCCTATAATTATAATTGTAACAGCATTCTCTACCTGATAGGATTGGGCAAGGATTCTCAGTTTTCCTCGCACCATTGGAATGTAGATCTTTGTGAAATCCTCCCTCCTCTTCTCCTCTGTTTTGGCCTCCTGCTCTGTCACGCCCCACGTGCCCTGTAGTATATATTCCATCTAAGTGCACATTTCGTTGCTAACAACACCGACATTTGTGAAAAACACTAGCACCCTACCTTGTGAACATCGTCATTCATTCATATATAGGAAAGTAAAGCAAATATCTGGGTAGACAAGATAGAACACGACAACTGCAGGTACCTTTTTTACCCGTTGCTGTGCCAGCATGTGTGTAGTTAATCAGATTAATTATTATAACTAACAAATTATTATATGTTACATTTTATAAATGCAGTGACTACAAAAGTAACAGCAATCTAATATCTACATATCGACATTATTTTGTATTAACGCTAAAGAACCACGAGTTTGCATTGATTTTAAGACCTCACGATGACGACCACAAACACGGGTTTCCACAATTTCGAAAAAAAGTCACGTTTGCATTGGATGTGGCACGCACCTTCTCTCCTCGGGCGGACGGTAGTCGCGCGTGCTGCGCCCTGGTGTCATGCTCCTTCGTGGCGCGGGAAAAGATGCTTTGCGACAGCTGCTGGAACTGAATGGTCAGGTCGAATATGGTGCGCAGCTTCGTCAGGATCGGCTGCAATGCAAATACCATGTCAAAACATTCCGAGTGCTTATCGCATAACCTGGAGTGGTTACGGGAATTCCAAATTAATGCTTATATAGGATATTACCAAGTGACCGTCGCCACTGCTAGCTAATAGCCATATACAGGAGGGGTTTCATTTCTGATGGCCCAGTAACGGATCTCTTTAGTGATGTAGGAATAAAGTACTCTAGTCAGAACACATGTATGCATCTACAATCATCGTTCTTAACCACGACCCAAACCCAGATCATGAAATGTTCCTGACGATCGCGTAAACGCTTCAAGAATAAAATAAAATTACTGTGAAGTAATTGTTTGTAGTTCGTTAATTTCGTATTACTACTAGTCCTAGTTTGACTATTGACAATTATGTCTATTATGGTCCTAGATGAAATCTCCTAAGCATTTCTAATAATTGTTCCTCTTTCCTAATAGTATTTGCAGTATCAGCACTTTAGGTTGAGCCAGGAAAGTATTTAAAGTTGCATGAGAAATGCTTGGAAAACAATGACATACAACACCAAGAGTGCCGTCGACTCGTTACCTTTGCGTCCTGAACATCCGAGCACCTGAGTGGTGATCTGGATCCAGGATTTTTATAATTTTTATAAATTTCTTTTGTGGGGAAGACTTCGGATGCATTCAAAATTAATAATTAAAAAAAAAAATCCTGAATCTTTTTTTTCTCCAAATTTCTGAAAATTCCATCAAACTATATTGGGTGTATCAGCAAGATGGGGGGGGACTGTTACGCTGTGGCGGAGGTTTGCTATCTCCGATTGCTCTTGTTACCTTTGCGTCCTGACTGAGCAACGATTGTCTGATGATGGTCTCGAGGAACTGTTGGTGTGCGGAAATCACGCAGTCTAGATCCCGAGCTTCGTGTATTTGCTTGGAGAGCTCATCCCATGAGCATGCCATCACCTATGCAGCAAGGAAGGCTATGACAAAACAGCTTAACAAGAGCAAGCCCACGCACTAATTTCAATCAGTTTAAAAAAGCCAATTTCAATCTGGTTATAATTTAAAAAAAAATTCAATCAGTTCAAAATTGTTTAATTCAATTTGAAAAGGATTTTCTGTTGAGTAATTGAATGGCGATATCAATGTGTGGCTAAGAACGTCACTGGACTAAAGCGTGCAGGTAATGCAGGAGTCCGATAAGTTTTTACTTGTATTACAAGAGCTTTCTATCATTCACACTGGCATGCACTTCTCAGAGTATATCTTAGATTACATCTGTATCTCTGATGTCACAGCCATTATTCTCATGACACAAGACTCACAAGTATGATTTTTCGCATCACAGCTGCGATTCGTAGATCACAGCCGTAATTTTCGTACTGCAACTACGATTACAACTCGTTACAACTCGTTACAACTGTGACGACAGATCACAGATCACAGATCACAGCCTTCGATATCACAGCACAGCCGTGGTCTCCATTTAAAATTCGCAGGTCGCACATCGAGTGCTTGCTGCACTGCAGTGATGCTTGCTTGCGTTGGTTACCTCAAATGTGATGTAGTACTGCATTTGCTGGGTGAAGTGCATCATCTCAGAGCCGAGCAGGGAGCATTGGTGCAGCACTGGCCACAACTCTGCAACACAACAACAGCACTACAGTGTTAAGCTGGGTTTACACTACCGACTTGATGTTCTCAAATTGGCGAGTTGGACCAATTTCGCAATTCGGCAACACCGAGTTGGCGAAAATAGAACATCTCCCAACTAGTTGCTATCGACTAGTTGCTCGCGTGACTTTTGTGTTTACACTGCCGATTGTTGGTTGCATAGTTGCAAAATTGGTCCAATTCGCCAATTTGACAACATAAATTCGGTAGTGTAAACCCAGTTTGAGTTACACGCGTGGATGAAATCCCTTCATGGCGTGACCCGTTAGGAATCTAGAATAGACGCTCACACATCACCTGCCTAGCTATCGACGAGACCAATGGCAGGTTACACCCAGCTAGAGACAAGCAGTGGTGCGATAGCTATTTTTTGTTAACTTAGCCTTACTGCAGGCTCGAGTCGCTACACTGCAGGTTGACTACGACCCAGGCTTCTAAGTCGAGTAACGATGCTGCGCCGCAGACTATAATCTATATAATATATGAATGAATGCACTGATTGTTGTCCACCTCACACTCTCTTCCTCAGTGAGCGCTTGCAATGTGTCGTGCATACTCACCTGGCACTGATCGGTATAGCACCCTGCTCTCTGCCGTTTGCATTTTCCAGCTGGCTGTGAGTATGTACTCCATGCGCTTGGCACGCCACAGTAGGTTGAACACTCGCAGGTACATTAGAATGCTCTCCGGCGTGAAAACCTGTGGGCAGCGAAAATAAACAATGCATCGGAATGTAACAAAGCTGCTGCTCAACACGAGTCATAATTTACAAAACTCTACATAACAAATTGGGAAATAACTGAGAATTACTACATTTAATTAACAAAAAATAGCCTGATAACTTGTTTCTTACTGTACTGATGGGTCCATCAACATGGTAGTCGAGAGTGAAGACATCCCAACCACAGTCACCAGCAGAAAACTGCAACAAAGGTAAAGTTTCAACAACTCAACAACGACCACACATATAACACATATGCTCACACGACCTAAATAAACATAGAACAGTAGCTTAAGCCTATTTATTCGCTGCTTAAATTGTGAACGTAATAATACACATTTATTTACTCTATCAAAACAAAACGTTGGAATCATTAGAATAGGAAACTAACACGAAATCAGTCCTCAAATCTGCTGCTTCGGTAAATATTTTGGATTTACATCGAAATTAAATGCCAATATATACCTCCAGTAGTCTAACGTCAAGTCGTTTCAGCACGTCACTGTCATCGTACTGAGCGTTTGTAGCTCTGATGGCAGATTCTAGCGTGCCAGTCAGATTATGCAGGTACAGCGTGTGCGCTGGTTTCGCCAAGTCCGATCTACACCAGAAGGGAAAATGTGATTTTTAATTTTTCCAGAAGCAGGTGCTATCCAGTATCAGGGTGTCGTCATGATGAGAAAGGCAAAAGAAAGCGGGACATACGGCAGAAGACGGGAGAGATAGAGAGAGACAGAAAAGTAGAAACGATGAAAAGTAGGGGGAAAGCTTAAGACAGAAAGACGAAAGACGAGAGACTGCGACAGAGACAGAGAGATTTGAGAAAGAGAGAGAGAAAGAGAAAGAGAGAGACTGAGACAGAGAGGGAGAGGCAGAGACAGAAACAGAAGAGATAGACAGAGAGAGAGAGAGAGAGAGGTGATGAGAGAGATGAGAGCGAGGAGAGAAGAGAGAGAGAGAGAGAGAGAGAGAGGAGAGAGAGAGGAGAAAAGAGAAAGCAAGTGAGAGAGAGAGAGGAGGCAGTAAATAGGAAGTAAGAATACGAGAAACTGCAGGAGGGGGGGGGGGAAGCGCCGCGCTGGCTCACTCACCTCGAGCAGGTCCATAAGGCAGAGAATGAAGTCACCCCTGCCCAGCCAGAGCAGGTAGCGACGAGCCGCTCGCACGGCTCAAAGAACTTGTAGCGACTGATTGAGGATGGCGAGCAGATGCCGGCTGGTGTCCGTGTACACAGTGTCGCGATCATGCGTCTGCAGTCTGCCTTCCACTGTCGATGTCAAAGCCATCTATGAAGTCACGGAGAGAGAACGTTCGCAAAACTGCTAGCAGCTTTCTTTGAATGACAAATATTTCGTAATATTATGGTTTTCTTAGCAGCAGCATACTACAACTGTACAAGGATAGAGAGGGAGCGAGGAGGGAGGAGGAAGGAAGGGAGGGAGGGGGAGGAGAGGAGGGAGGGAGAGGACGAGGGAGAGGGAGAGGGAGAGGGAGAGGGTAGAGAGGAGAGGGAGGGGAGATGGGAGATGGGAGAGGGAGAGGGAGAGGGATGAGGGAGATTTGGGAGAGGAGCAGAGTAGAGAGAGAGAGAAGAGAGAAGAGTAGAGAGAGAGAGAGAAGAGAGAGATGCAAAGGAGAGAGAAGAGAGTAGGTAGGGTGAGAAGTAAAGAGGGAGCATAGAGAAGAGAGATAGCGAGACTCTCTATCTCTCTCCCTACTTCTCCCCCTCTCAGAGAGGAGTGTAAAAGTAAAATGGAGAGGGAGGGAATAGGGGGGAAGAGAGAAAGAGAGAGGGTAGAGAAAGGGAATTTAGCATCCACGCCTTAATTTTGAAGTATTTCATGCGGCCACAATTTTTAGTGCGACATTTATATCGTGAATTAACTAATTAAAGTAAACAATGCCACGGTCACTGATAAAACGTTGAGAAAATTAAATGCAACAGATTGTGAGTGGGGCATATGGTGCTTCTGCTTAATGTCACCTCACCTGCCATGGCTTGCTTAGTAAGACCTCGCACCAGGCTCCTATCACAGCACACCTGATGGAGGAAGTTGATCGATTTTCCAGTCAAGAGTATCTGTAACACCAACAACAAATAAATGACTGCAATGTGCTATACAAAAACGGAGCTTTGTATCGAATAACATCAATCAAACTGCAAACATTTGGAATTATGTTTAGAACTTGACACACAACTGTTTTGCATCGAGATTCTGAAGAAGAATCAATTTCGTTGATTCTTCAAGTTATACATGAGCACTAGAGGAGAAGGAAAAGAAAGGAGCTTACACAGTCGCAGGCTATTTCCATCAGTGTTTGGAGCTATGAAGTGTGCAAAAGGCAGATAATTTGTTTATGCAATACCTGTCCATCAAATCTATCAGCTCTGTAAGCACACACCTAATCAATGGTCTACTGTGGCTGAGGGGGGGGGCTATGTTACTATTGATCCATACCCGTCTGGCTTGATCCATAGTGATAAAAGATGGAACCATGGATTTCCTAACACTGTATTTTTCATGCCATAGCCTATCTTCCTTCACTGCAGGGTCAGATGCTACAAAAAACTGAAATGGAAAAGTTTACTTTTTCGTAACACCTATTGCAAAGCAGATGCGCTTAGAAAACACATAAATTTTTCAGTTAAGCTCCTTTTCCATCTGTAAATATAAATGTACAGCTTAAACATCGCTTTTTAAACTTTGATTCATACACACAAAACAATGATTTATTTTATCCACCTATAGACAAACATATTGATCAAGGGTCCACATAAATCTATCTAGGCACTCGATACCTCATGATATTGGTCCAGTAACTCCCCATCATATATCCATTTTAGCAGCATTTCATATATCGGTCTGGACACCTGCAATAACACCCAAATAGAGATACAGATTCTCAAATCATTGAGACGTAATTAGCTTTACAAACAAATACATAGAGTAGGTAACAGTGCATAGTATAGACTAGAAAAAAATGGAAGCACAATAGAGTGTCAGGTGCACTACAGCTTACCATGTGTAGTGTATGTCTGGACAGAGATCGCAGCTGTGGATCCCCATGGAATGTGTGATAGTGCAGAATGCTCGCCAAAGCGCCACCTTTCTTGCCTAAATTAAGCATCCACATATACACTTAGGTGGTCGAGAATGGGACGAGTAAAATTCCCAACCTATTTTTTTTTTTTAATACATTCGCTTTACATACGTAAGAGTTTGACTAAGATCTCTGTTCATGAATTGACTATGATCATGAATATTATATCTACTACTAGATTACATTTATAGAGTGTATAGATACAGGAAACCTTTGCAAATACTTCTACAATTAAATACAGTGAATCAATTCTGAGAGAATAATTCTGGCAATCATGCATATGCAAGGAGAACTCTCTATCCGTTAACTAACATAATCCCAGTGGGTTCTAATGGTGAAGCCACCGCCGAGTGTGCATACCTCTGCATGCATCTACGAGAGCTGCCAGCGTCTTTAGTTTCTCCTTCGGTTCCACCGTCCACAGCATTACGCGCTTCAGTGTGAGACCGGGTTCCCTGTTGCTCACACCTTCCTCCTGGTGGAACTAAGCAAAGTCGCAAAATTCAGAGATCAAAATTGTATTTTTGCAGAACAAAGCAAGTGCTGTTTTGTGCTTAATTAGAAATTTTAAAGCACCATGAGAAATTGAGACCAGGTTCCCTGTTGCTCTAACCTTCCTCCTGGTGGAACTAAGCAAAGTCGCAAAATTCAGAGATCAAAATTGTATTTTTGCAGAACAAAGCAAGTGCTGTTTTGAGATTAATTAGAAATTTTAAAGCACCATGAGAAATTGAGACGGGGGCACCACGGCAAACTTTTCCTGCAAGTTTTGGTCAACTAAACCTTCGTAAGTAAGTGGTTTTAGAAACTATCCTAATGTAGGACTTGAGGGAATACATAACAATATATAGGCAAACAATTTTAGGGAAGGGCATAAACAAGGCAATAACCAGGTAGAAGCAAGGTATGGCAACTACGTTTTAAATGGCTGTTCCTCCGTGCTTTCTGCAGCTGCTGCTACCACGTGTAACGCCCACTGCCTAGTGGTATTTTGCAACCGGGGCAGTTAGCCAGTGTTTACTGCATAGTTTACACTTAAAGGGATCGTTTACCTCTAGGTTCTAGGTTATTTCAGTTAACTTAGGTTAAAATTACCTACATACAACAGTTCATTTCAACTCACCAATTAGAAATATTATTGAAAAATGTTTTAAAACCACTAACGACTACAGTTGATTACAACGGACCGGGTGGCGCGCCACCTTCAAGCACACGATCTGATGATTGCGGCAAAACCACTTTTCAGCCCAAGGGCTACAGCGCGCGAGGTGTTTCTTCTTTATCTACTTTAAAAGCCAAAAGGCATTGTCATCATCTGACTAAACTGACATATAGTCTCAGTATTAATTTGGATAAATTTCGCCCTAACAAATGAAGTATCGTCGTAAATAGGCATTAGGTATACGATATACATTGCACGCTTTTGTGATAGCCCTCAGTCCTGTATACGTGCAAAAAAATGTCAAATACGTCATACTTTTTTCGGGGTGGCAGCACGGTCGCGGTGTGTCCAATGGTGCCGTGTTCCAATGATTTCGTAGCGTTGATGTGTAATTAATTATAACAATTAAATTAGGTATCTGGTAACAAATACGTGGGTATAGACGATTTGTTATACAGTAAGTACAGTTGTATGCAGTAAAATCCTAGAGTCTACTATCCCTTTAACAGTTACCTGGGCATGTAGAATTGCTATCAGCTTGTAGTATTGCTGTAGATGCTCCTGTAACGCTGCACAGAAACTCTGCAAATATAATGTTCTTGTCGTCAAACGAAAGTCAATCTGGCAAAAAATCTAATGCTAATATTATTATAAAAATAACCTTGAATGCAAACGAAAAGAAAGCAGCTAGCCACAAAATATGGAATATAATCAAAGTTCGTAATTATCCCTCTCCCCAGAAATATGGTAAAACCAATTAATAATCATGAAAAGCCAATTCTTAATCACATAGCATATAACTATGAGAAATAGCAACGAGTAAGTGCATGCGTGCATGTGTGCGTAGGTGCGTGCTTGCGTGCGTGTGTCTGTGTGTAGTCAACAGGGGTATTGGTCCGGGTTGCCATACTTGTACTAGTTGGATTATATGTTAATGTATTAATCTTTCGAGGATATTACAGCTATATTTTATCAGCCATATTCTGTCATGTCATACTTGTACTAGTTGGATAATATGTTAACGGACTAATCGTTCAGGGATATCACAGCCATATTCTGTCTCAGCTTCATGCATACTACACGACCTAATGCGATCGCTATGCTGCGATGTACTCACCTGCCCAACTAGTCCGAGAGCGAGGTCAGAGTTCCTGTTACCGATAAACCTGCGAACGTGATTGTGCAGCCATCCACACTCTGCTATCTTCTCCACCTCAGCAGCCAGCGGTGCATTCACCTGACACAGACATCGACAAATTATAAAAGGTCACACATGGTCATGTAACTGCACCCATAAAATCCCTGCTCCCCTATTGAACCCCTAAAATCATCTGACTAGGAGTAACTTCACCCGTAAAATCTCTGACTAGGAGTTTTTTTATCTCCACCTACAGCACCTGGACAGATTAGGATATCTTTGCATCGGTTTGCAAAGTGCACGTATATTCCCAAAGCAGATGACACGTCAGACACTAGACACACATCCAATTCAGGGTGATGTGGGCCCTCACACGCAATAGCGCAAAGACATACACCAGGGAGCGCTACATATCTACTAATGACAACACACTTGCCATCTACTAATGAGTGCGCTTTCCAGGGGCCTTGATCATTGGTCATTGACCAGGGGCCTGGCACACCAGGGAACCATACGCATCTAATCGTGACGTCGTGCCCGCGTTACCTTGTCGGTGACGTGGAATGCATCCGTGCTGTGGCAGTGCGTGATGTAGCGACCTTCGACTCCCTGTAGGGCAAACATCACCTCCCTCAGCAATTCCTCCTCCGAGGGCTCACCATCTGCTCACAGACAAACCAAACCGTCACCACATGAACTGTGTTGCATCTGATTCTGTAAGTCTTCACAACACTAGTATCATATGCCGTCCTGCCCCCAGTCCGTATGCGGTGATAAAATCTCGAGTACCCACTAGTTTATATTATAAAAACTAGCATACTAAATACCCGTAACACGACCAAATCGATGGCCTTAAAATATAAACTTTCATGTAAGTACACAGTTGAAGTTCAATATTTATGCAACGAAAGACAGAAACAAAAAACATTTGGAAAAAACAAGAGTGCAATCATAAGTGAGGCAGGGAAAACGTGCTCAGTTGGTGCCACTTGGTTGAAAGGAAAATCTGCAAATCTATCTATCTATATATGTATCTAATGTATATATCGCATCATCCATAGCCAGCATCCTCCGCATACCATCCATTCCATCCTCGCATGTCATGCCATGCATTCATGTCATGCATCCCACCGCATCTCTCCTATCCATGCAACCCCATGCACCCATCCATCCCACCATTCCATCCATCCTGATCCTATGCCATGATGGGATCGATCCGATCATCGCATCGACCCCATCCATCATCCATCCATCCCAAACCATAAAAAATCAATTATAATAATCATAGAAATAAAATCTCAATAAATAAAATAGTATAAATAAATAATATGGTAAAAAAATTGGTAATTTTTCCCAATTTTAACTTTTTAAATTTTTTTTAACGAAATGTGTAAAATTTATATTTTGAACGATTTTGAAATTAACGCTGAAGTGACAGAAGTAGACTACTAAGAGTAACAATGCCCCCGCGGAGCGGCCACGCGCTCGATCTAACGTCTACTGGCGGTGACTCCTGTGGTGGAGTGGTGAAGATCTAGTAAATCCCTGTAAGTACCAAATGCTGTTCCATACCCGCCGAACAGTGGAATGCATCGGGATGTCCATCCGAACCTTCTCAACGGATTCGTTGGATAGTTATGACGTTGCAACCGAGAATCGCGGCGACGTTTCAAGTGTATCAGATAAAAGATGGAAGCTCCCATCGTACGAGTAGCCCAACTACTGCAGACAGAATAGGTAAGCAACTCATCCATACTAGCAAGCCTACGGACTGCATAGAGACTGCCGACCTGTAACAGTTAATGGCAGGCAAAAACTACACAGTACACAGCACACATGCACTGCAGTAGCACTGCAGTGCAATAACCGGTACATGAACTACGACCGTCCACAGAATGCAATGAATATAACAATTTAAGGAGCAGTAAACCTCTACACCACAAATTAGGCTTTGAAATTTAGTGTGAATTGTAGCTCATAGCCTCAGGCATGTATAGATTCTACTAGAACCAGAGACCGCTCAAATTCTTCTAACAGACGTCAACAATCCATGTTTAACCTCTCTTTGAGGGTCAAACCAGGATTATCTGACACTTACTCTCGCATGTAGTCGAAGTATATTTCATGTCTTTTCATAATGCCATATAACTGAGGTTCCCGCTGAACAAAACGTTTTTGAATCGCTCTCAGAACATTCCTCAGGAAAGTGCAAATCTGCGCGTGCCATTGACTTTGACCTGTGACCTCCAATATCGGCACAGTGAGCTTTTCCTAGTCCATGATTGCCTATGACAACCAACTATCAAACCTAGTTCTATTCGAGTGAGTCCTTTTTAGATTATGCTGCTGCAATCTATGCATTGCCTATCCCTATACCTAATATGAATGCAATGTTCCCCCCCTTCTTTTCACACTTCTTGACCTTTGACTTTGACCTCCAGCTTCGATCATCGCAACTCGTTGCGGATTACGCGGCTCGCCACGTCCCGAATATCGTTGACCGTACGGTCGAGCCGTTTAGATTTGTCCCAACTGTTCGCACGGACGGCGGACTCGCACGGACAGAGGACGGTACGGGACGATCATGCGATTCTTACAAGTGCAATCTGACTCATGGTCAGCATGAGCTACAAAAAGCCAAACGGAAGATTTTTTTTATTCCCAGCTGAGATTCGACCTGGAATCTCGGGCTATGAAAACGTACCTACCGACTGACCGCTACGGGCGCGGTCAATGACAACACGGCCAAATAATCCCCACGTACGTGATGATCTGAATTTTGACTTTTACAAATTTTTTTTTAGCTTTTAACTTTTACCATTTTTTTTCCAGACCGAGCACATCTCGCCAGACGTGCGCTGGATTCTGAATATTCTCAGTTACCCGCGATTGAGTGACAACATGACGGAGAAAAAGCGAGGTCAAACAAACATCACACACACACACCAAGATTAGCCCCAATTATAAGTATAGATTTATTAGGTTAGCCCAGTTTAACAATATTATGATGCTTATTACCTATGATAGTCTGTCGAATAAGGCCACCAGATTCTATCAGATGAAACTGTACTGCCCCACTCTAAGTATATGTATAACATATATATATATAATATATATATAACTAATTATTATTATAATATATTAGACGAGAGAGAGAGAGAGAGAGAGACGAGGAGAGAGAGAAGAAGAACAGAAAAGAGAGAGACGAGAGAGGAGGGAAGGAGGCGAGGAGGGGGAGGGAGTGAAGGAAGGAGACAGAGACAGAGAGAGTGAGAGAGCGAGATAGATATATAATAGGTACTTTTGAAATTACACAAATACAAATTTATACATTAGTACCAATTCTAACTAAGCATCAAATATCTGCTTGCTTGGATATTATTAGGGATTGGCGAGATATTTGTTGAGTTGCTCGATAGTGATAGATGACGACCAAGGAGGAGGAGGACGAACGAGGAGGAGGAGGAGCATCGGACCTGTATAGTCGCTGTCCTGCTTCTGCTGAGACGTACAGCCAGCGTGGCTCTCCGTACGTTTGCTGCGTCGATCAGTGCTGAGAGCAACCTTACCGTGGGAATCGGCGAGAAACGTGCCAGCCCCAACTCTCCTGCTTGCTACACTGGTCACCGACTCCACGGCCCGGCTTCCCAAGCCAGTAAGGGCTGGCGTGCTGGAAACCAACATACATACCTTATATTACATCTAGAGATGTACACATACAGACGGCTAGACAAATAGATGGATGGTTGGATTGAGACATGAATATACAGACAAACAGATAGCCGGACACACAGACAGATGGACAGATAGATAGATACCTAATGGCATGGTGCTGGGTAGCCGCACTGCTACGACTGCCAATCGTTGACAGAGTGCTGATACCACTACTCGTGAAACCTGAAGGTGGTCGACCGCCACCAGAGGGCACTGTCACGGGTGTCGAGCTGCTGTAGAACGGCAAGATCGCCTGTAATCCAGACGCCTTGTTCTGCAACAGATACGTCATCGTCAGCATAGCACAGTATATGTATATATGTGTGTGTGTATGTATATGTATATGTGTATATGTATATGTACATAGTATATATGTATACTGTATATGTATATCAGTATATGTGGGTAGGAATCGTCATGACTGAGTACGGTAATCTGCTTGTGGTAGGCAATCCTAGATGCTCAGGTACTCGGGTATTTGTAAAGAGTTAGGAATTATAGTGCATGAGCGGGAGCCTGAGCCACTGGCTGTGGGAAATCTATTCACGGGGAACCCAGTACAATGCACCCGTGTTCCAGCGCATTAAAAAAACAAAACTGATTCTGACTAGCTATGATGATGCTCTGGAGAAATAATTTGGTTCTCACAGTGCATGTGATAGAGCTGTCATTTCTAATCGCAAATGGAAAGCTGTGAGACACTGTTTGTTTCTATTGAACATACATGAACATGAACATGTACGTACATGGCAACTAGCATGTTCAGTTTATTTTCACAACTGACCAGAATGCATTAGCAGATTATAGGCAGACTCTACAGGATTTTTTCCCACAGAAATCGCGTCGCAAATTCAATTTATTCGAGATTATACTCGCCATACGAAACCATAAAAGGGGCAGATGGCGAGAAGACATTATGAGATAGACATCCTAGCAAGAGCAGTGGTACGCTGAGGAAAGCTACTAAGCCCCAGTTTTCTGCATCACAGAGATGCCAACACATATTTGAAGCAATCTGTAGTTTCTGGCCATCAAATTAGTAGTTCGAGGGTCACGTAGTGACCCGAGTTTGCTAGGGGGGTCCGGCATGCCCCCCGGAAAATGTCTTGATTCTGAGATGCAATTTCCTGCATTCTGAGGGTCAAAAATGACAATAATTGAAAAAAAATGACAATAATTAAAGAGATTAATTTTTTTTTTCGATCACAGTGAAATTCGTAGTTTGATACAAACTGGTCGTAGTGGTGCAAAAGGAATAGATATTCATATAAAACACGGGTAAATCGTAGTGGTTGGCATCTCTGACGACATGCTCAGACGATCGGTATGAGCGAGCGTCACACTGCTTGTTTGGACGTGACAAGCCACCTCATGGTAGAAATTCTAACGTGCGCGAGAATGTATGTATAATATATATATATATATATGTGTGTGTGCAGGGAAAAAATTACTTTTTTTCACTACATCTCGTGCAGCAGTATTTCACACTTCTATGTGCTATCTGTGACCTACCTAACACGTACGAAGCAGCTGTCTAAATAACGCACAAACAATATGGCTTTGTGTGAAATATATACACATGGCAGAAATACACAGGTATGCACGGGGTGCCAAGCAAGAACTTACAGTCATTATGTCGTTGAATAAGAGTCGAGACCATATTCTGTGGTTAATACGAACCATAACTACTACAGAGCCTGATACCATGAAGCAACTTTTCGTGACGAATACCGTAATACCACGTGTTAGTGAAGCGATGAATTCTAGAAAAACGTTCGGAATGTCTGTAATGTCAATTACGTTTTTGTATTTCCCACGACTTACACTGTGTATTTGAAGATGCGTTCATATAGGAAGTTTTTCGGCCAAAAGAAGTAGGTAATTCACGATCTACACTAATACAAATACAATTATGAAGGCAATTAAACATTGTCAAACATATATTATATTTATTATATAATATTTATATATTGTCAGCAAACAGGTATGCCAAGATTTTGGGTACAAAACCGCACTCACTCCTTTTAAAAATTACGCAAGAGCAAATTAGCATCCTGGGTTTAGTGGTTATAATTTACAACTTACGTATACTATGGGCGAATCTACGTCACCTGTGTTCACGTAATGCTGAGTTTCACAAAACAATTTTGGTAATGTATGCATGATCACTGGCACTCTAATGAATGTACTCCTCATAAACTCACACACACTGGAATGTGTGGCAATGTGTACAGATGCTGTGTCAACAGTATTGTCTGCACATAATGTCACCAAACGTATATACACATTTTTCTAAACAAAACGACTGCATACAAATGTGTCAATACCTCCTTGTTGTCATTGCCGTTAACCATGGCTTCCATAGATAGTCAGACCATGGCCAACATGTAACCTATGCACACAAGTATGGGCACAGTGCCATAACTATAATCTGTCATGTATATCTGGTCATATCTCATATTTTCTCTTGCTCACACCATGCTTCCCTGCCGCCATCCCTCCTCTCAGTCACATTATCGCGCCCAGCACTGTAATACAACAAAACTTTATAGCAATCAGCTATATCAACTACGAAGCCATAAGTTGTCCTTTATTGACGTCCAGTATACCTTGGTGTGTTTTGGAATCACATAAAGGGTTTTCTCTCCCCCTCGGCCGTTCCTGTTTCCCTCCTCCCCATTTTTCTTTCTACTTTTTCTTTCTAAAATACACACTTTGCTTGTACCTCTCTCTTATTCTTGATGTGCCATCCTCTCCTCCTTCTTATCTCTGTACCTCGCGCTCCATCTCTCTCTCTCTCTCTCTCTCTCTCTCTCTCTCTCTCTCTCTCTCTCTTTCACTCGCACTCGTTCTACCCTCTCTTAGCCACCATTTTTCTCACAGACTCGCTCTCTGCCCCTCGCTCCCTTGCTCCACTCCCCACTTGCCTCACACAACAGCTTTTTTGCAAATGATATCAACGAGCAGCAGCTGCAGAATGCGTCGCTGCTATTGGCCATATACATTCGATCTGCGTCCGTTATTGGGCTACAGTGAGAGCAACGGTGCGAACGGCGCCTGCGATAAAAACAGGTGTCAGCACTCAAGTCATGTCACAGAGTGCCGGTGTCACGCTACATTTCAGTCAGCTTTGTCAAGGAGTCTCGCTCATACTTGTACACACCCTGTTAGAGACCGATAACGTTACTACCTGCGGAAGACCTTACGAAAGACGGGCCCAATGAGTAGCCAGCCTCCCATCTTCAGATACAACAGCGAAATGAGTAACAGAGTCATTCCCAGCGAGACACTGAGCAACGCAGACATCAATGAAGCCAACGCCGACATCCAACACATCCTGCGACCGATCATACTGGCTACAAAGGCGTTTGGCCTACTACCTCTGTCTTACAGCAGGCAGAAGAAGGAGCACCACCTCTCGTACTGTTCATTCACGTTCTTCTACAGCTGTCTCGTCATAGTACTGCAGATGTTCCACCTCGCGCGCTACGTTCACATCTTTGTGCTCGGCACCATCGACAGGGACTACCTCGTCGTGACCGTACTTGTGATCACAATGCAGACGATTTCCTCCGTCTTTGCGCTCATCACCATGAACATGGCCAGGAGTCTCCCGCACGTGTTACTCTACTGGAACAGCGTCACCCTGCTACCGGCCGACAACACGAAGCGATTACGCGCGTCCGTGACGCTCGTGGCCGCGATCGCCACCTTCTTCACCCTCCTCTGCGCGGGCATCTACCTCGGGCTCGGCTTCGTCGAAATGCCCTTTATCAGAATGAGCCCGACGAACTTCGTCTTCTATCCATCGTCGATCTACTTTGCCGCGCTCAACAACCGCAACGTGACGCGTATCATCCACGCCGCGCTCATGCCGATGCAGCTTCCGACCATCGCCGCCGGTGCTCTCCCACTAGCGCTCTACTCCACCTGCTGCTGGCTGCTCGCCAAAGAACTACGCGTCTGCAACGCGCGTCTCGCCGACGACATCGACAGGGGGCGCTGCGCGGTGCGGCGGTGGCGCGGCACGTACGTCGACATCTGCACGCTCGTCGAGCGGCTCGATGACGCCGTCTGCTGGTACGTGCTCGCGTCGTATGCCGCCGTGCTCGTCGCGACCATGTTCGCGCTCTACTTCCTCATCTTCGACGCCGGCTTCGACGAGACGTTCGCGGCCTTCATCCGCCCGACGTGCAGCATCTACATCATCGCGATCCTCGTGCTGTTCACGGCCGTCACAGTGCAGGCGTCGGCGATCCACCACGAGGTGGGTACGCTTCCGGTGTTGTTAAACTTCCGATCGGTGATTTTATGTCACAGTGCAGGCGTCGGCTATCCACCACGAGGTGGGTACGCTTCCGGTGTTGTTAAACTTCCGATCGGTGATTTTATGTCACAGTGCAGGCGTCGGCTATCCACCACGAGGTGGGTACGCTTCCGGTGTTGTTAAACTTCCGATCGGTGATTTTATGTCACAGTGCAGGCGTCGGTTATCCACCACGAGGTAAATACGCTTCAGTGTGGTTCAACTTCTGCTGCGATCGGTGATTTTCATCCCCGTCCCAACAGAATGATGGGGATTAGACAAGACACGCCTAGAGGTTACTCTAGTTGTAGGCCATGCATGCTCATCCACCTGTTACGTTTCTCAGTTGTGCAACTCTTGATGTAACCATGTTACATGATCCAATCATGATCATTTAATCAATGTTTTGCAACTATTACAGGCACACACACCTTTCCTGATTCTGCAGAGACTTGAATCCCTACCACTAAATGATGATTCACACGTAAGCACGAAATATTTTCATAATATCACGGAATTGTAGTTGTGTTCAGCAACGAACAGAGTTAATTTGCTTGCCTGGTGGAGAGATAGCCGATAAGACAAACAAAAGACGAAACTTTCCCATGATCGTAATGGATCGCTATTTACCATTTTATACTGTTACCAGTTATACTAGTTACCATTTTATCCCTGATAACAATTTACGATCATTACTGGACTGCAGCAACACACATGTACTGCAATGGATACCAGCATTGCCCATGTCTATTAGTTTTTAATAATGTCAATACTATTATTATATTGCATTTGCATTTGTTTGCATTTTGCAACAAAGTTTTAGAGAAAAAAAAGTGAAACTATACAACTTGCGGTTATGGCTGTGCCCGCACACAGTTCATGATGTGCTAGAAGTGTAACGCTGGTTGCTGCTACGTTTCAGATACAGTTGACGTTGTACTTAAGCAAGCTGATGGGACCAGCTATAGGCTTCACGGTGGGAAAGCTGTTTGTAGTGCACAACACGATGCTTCTTACGGTAAACAGTACTAAACACACCCTCTGTTGTTTACGCCCCTCACTGGCTAAGACCACAATTAACAAAATATTTGTTTGCCCTCACCCGACCCGGGCTGAAAAGTTTGGGTAGGTAGGTAGGTTTCTTTTTTTTGAAGAAGTCTTTTTACAAATTCAGCATGGTGTCTACATGCTCGGGTGTGCTTGTGTGGAGATACCTTTTATGTTGAATGTTTGTTTTGCTTGGTTCATATAATGTATTGCCTACAAATTTATATAATGTAGTGATACAATTTGTAAAAAAAAAGAGAAAAAAATATCAATACATTTTTTTGAGTCGGCCACTTTTTGGTGGGTCGGTCGGGTGAGGGCAAACAAACAATATTTTTATTATGGCCTAAATAAACAAAAGATGTCTATATGCTCTGTATGGCACCATTTTCTTGGCACTTTAAGTTTTCCTCACTGCGAGGGGCAAACAAGGTGATTACTGCTCCTGAAACGACGTATTAAATTAACGGAGTTGTATCCTGGATTGCCTTACTCAGAAACCACTGGACACGTTAACACATAACCTGATTTATTTTCCACCAATCACTGTATGGTTTCTTACTGCAGGCAGAACTCTTAGCCGTAACTTTCTGGTGTTAATACAACCAGGAACCCCTGTCTAACTTGTAGGTAACACAACATGTCAGGTTGTGATTGCCAATAGATAACCCCTAAAACCCACCACCTTCGAACAACAAACAGTAGAATGTACAGTCAATACTGCTTATTACGATTTTGTTAGGCGAGTTTATAATAGTAAAACCCTGCAGACATGAGAGATGACTCGCTTGTCAGCACATCTAACCAAACACAAACAAACAAACAATTGCTATTCTTTACAGGTGATGAGTGTGATTGTAACGTACACGATCGTGATGGTTCAATTCCGATTCAGCGTGTGAGGTGTCCGTAACAGCCCACTGTTGCTGCAATGCAGGGTTTCAAGATTGAATCACGGTTTTTATTAAATTACATGCATCGCATATAATTTATGTACTATATTATCAGGAGTGAATAATAATAGATTATAATCTATTATGATATTCCACTATTATGAGATTATCTATTATGATAATTCACTCCTGATATTATGTATATATGTATTTGTGTGTGCACATGTTCGCGTGCGGTTTGTGTGTGCGTGCATGTCTGTGCATGCCTGTGTACGTCTCTAATTAGTACTAGTAGCCTACTCTAAAAACAAAACTATGAGCAGGCCATCGCTGTTTAAAAAAAGCAATAATGCTGTTGATGGATGGATTGAATAAAGAACAGATCTAAACGTTATAACGACTTACATGCTAAACAGTAGGTGTCTTTGTGCTGCATTATAGTATTGGCACTTGTTTAGGTAAGTAAATAGTAGATATTTTAAAATGTAATTTTAGTTTAAAGAGATAAATAAATAAAGATTAAAAGATAATATATACTTAATAAAGCAATACATATCATAAACGTGTTGCTCTCATATCATCATACATAATATCATATTTGACACTGAAAGGTTGCAGAAATAATAACATTGTAATTATATTACAGATAGATACCATCAACCGGTTTTTGTAAAAAGTGTGCTGATAACGAAAATGTGATAAAACACATAGACAGCCATACCCATACCTTACTTGAAAGTCTCTGTTACACCATCATTTCTGTCTGTTTTCCTTACTGAATATAATACTATATGCCCAAGACCACAGCAATGGGTGTCATAGAATGAAATGCCAGATATGTTAGCAGAGCCATTATAGCCCAGCATAGAACACTATTGTACAAATTGTACAAATGCGTGCACGCCAACAAAAATGCTTTCCCGGATTCGAATTATCTGAGCATTGTCGGCTTTTCCTGGATTAAAAGCATGAGACCGGCAGCAGCAGGCATAATCCTGGCATAATAGAGGCGAACAAAAACTGTGTGAGTGACCAACACAGCACATTAGTACGTAATGTGACACAGCAGGACAGGTAAACAATTGTAAACAGACAGGTAACATTTAGAGCCTGATGGCTCTAAAAGCCGAGTGATGAATGCCGCAGCAGAAGCTATTATAGTGATCGATACCCACAGCATCCTTCACAATATTCGGCTGGCTTTCGCCTGCTATATATAACCGCCTTAAAAAGAGCTAGATGAAAGGAACATCACTAGCTTCACGTTCTGCTTATCTGTTTATCTTTTACAGATCTCCCGTTATAGTTTTGTAGAAGTAGCTATATATATATATATATATATGGATAGATAGGTTGAGAGAGAAAAATGTAAGCAACCATACTGTAGCTTAAAAAATCGTAACTAAACATAGTAGCAAAACTATTATTGACCTTGACTGTCAAAACTGACAAACATGCAACAGCTAGGACTCTGAGATTTTGCCATCTTGCTTACTATTTACACACACAGACGATTGTGTTACACCTTATTTCGGCTCAAATTCCTCGATAATCGTGCATGACTTCAGCTTACAGGAAGCAAGGTGGTTTTTGATAACATTTTCTGAGAAATATAATGTGTCCTATAAGCCAGGAAATAGAATATATACATATGTAACCCTTGTGAATGATAAGAATAAAAAAGGAAAGAACAGTCTTAATATTTACACTGAATGATGTATGTCACATTGACCAGCTCGTTTATAGTCCATGTAAATACTATATATATGCAAGTCTCACTCATTACAGGCTGTCTTCAATATCCAAGAAGCCAATTTACCTCCAAACCATCAAATGTATTCTACCTAACCAAGTGAGCTACAAGAGCTTCAAATAAAACTGCACTATGTGCACGCAGGCATTCTATACAACTATCGCTCCTATTCCATCACGATGTGACATTGCTTAATTGATTCGGATGAAATACAAAACTATATGAAGTATGAAAAGTGTTGTCTACCTGTCCTTTGTTATTGGCCTGGCTAAGAATGTCCAGAAAGTACAGAATGCTCCACTTTTGCATCAGGACACCCTGCAAGCACAAACTCGCGTAACTTTTGTGGTACCTGGTGTAAGTATATTTAGATATAATACATATATATTGAAGATAATTATTAAATTCTATCTAATAGCTTCTTGATATCATCATACTGGGTCCTTTGTGTTCAATCAACAGGATTATAGTCTCTATTAGATTCCTCGCTATTTTCACCAACAAAAAGTGTAACGAAATGAAAGCGCAAGAATCGAAATCAAATGATAAAAAGGAGAAAAACTGTTGTTTTTTCTTATGACCACTGACGCTACCTGTGTCTGGAGTTTCCTATATAGCTCAGAGAATTTCACAGCATCATTGGTGCATTCTTGTTTCACAACTGAAAACATATATTAAGTATAAGTATGAACATGCGTATACTCAGTATGCCATTGGTTTTTCCAATGGTGGCAATTTATATTTTTCCAAAAAGTGGTGATAGATAGCAATGATAAGAAACACGAGTTCACACGAGTACTATGGTTTCTAAATTAAAGTAAATTTTAATACAGAACTATAATAGCATTACGTCTTGTCTTGATTCTGTCTGATACTTCCAGATCATCTGTAGTGTAGGGTGCATAGCTTCGGCTAGCCAAGATCTTTAATGCACGCTGAAACGTCGCAGTCACTGAATCTGTGGAAACAATTTACACTGGATTTTATTCGATAAGTAAGACTTAGGTAAGAGCTTAATTCACTAAAGAAGTTCATTAAAAAATATCCAACCACTCACTCACAGAATATAATCCCGCTAATCACAGGTAGCATGTATACTAACGACTAACAAACAGCACATGTACTAAACATCAGGGCATGAAATTAGCCAAAATGTGAACAGACCCACCCAAAATTTTAAACAGGCCCTTAGACAAATTTAACAGACCCTTACAAGTTTGAACAGGCCTAACTGCCCAAGTTAATTTTGTCCAATTTATTCCATTATTAATATTAGCTTTGTGTTTATTAGGCATACTCGTAGTATTTCAGTATTTCATTGCTATTAGTGGAGTTCTACCTGTTTGACAGGAATTGCTGGATACGATTTACTTCTTACTTAGTAGTCACTAAGTAAAATCTGTCAGGAAATTGATAAATATTGTTGATATAAAGGCAAGATAGGCAAAATTTTGAATAGGCCAAGTGGACTGATTATATGGGGTATATAATTATATGATTATAGGGTGTTGAACCGGCGGTTTAGGGGGTTGAACCGCCCGCCGCCGGCAAAATAGCACTAATTTCGCGCACTGAAACATTCACTCAGTAGTAATAGGACGGTCCATATTTGTTTATATACCATGCATGGAAAACAACTCTAACAACATCAGGACAAACTGCAAACTTCTACTTAAGCATTCATTATTAAAAAGTGACTATTCATAAAATTAAGTAATGAAATGTTTGTATTATAACTGTTTATATATCAATCTTTTATTTGAACACAATTTATATTACTTACAATTTTAAAATTAACAACGACAAACAATCAGTATTAAGAGTATATTATGTATAATATTAGACAGTGCAAATACATTTTCTACACCATATATATGTATTTTATATTATTGATGCATACACACATATATTGAAGAATGACGCATAGTTCTGCATTATTTTATGTCATGTTAATCTGTGCATATCTGTGTTAACAAGTAGATACGGTCATTTCATAGAAGGTTCATAGAATTGAATTTTCATCATCTCATTAATAGCCGTAAATAGGGGTGCACCGGAATTTGGATCCGGCCGGATCCCCAATCTTTCAAAGTTCCGGTTCCGGCCGGAACCCTTCAGAAACAGTCGGCCGGAACCGGAATTTTTTCCTAATTTCATTTCTGCTACAAGTGTCATCAAAATCAAAAGATTAGTCACTGAATGTAGTTGAGAGTCAATAGAGTCAACTTGCTGACAATAGTCTGATAGTGTTAACAACTTCACACTTTTCTGCCCAAAAAACGCTTGCCACTTGAACATTGGCTAACTAACTGAACTGAACCTAACTGATGTTAGGTGATTCATAAGATTTTCTTTCAACAGGAATCGCATCTGTCCATCAGTTGAAAATAATAGACTAAAACCAGGGTTACTGCAACAGCAACATGCAGGTTTTGCCACAGAATTCGCTTGTGAATAAGATGCCAGGATTATGCAAATTATGCACTGTAAGCAGCTGATTCATACACCTAACAGTAACAACCATCCTGTAATTAGAACTTTGAGCATTGACCTACTCGCCTAAGTGATGTGCCTGCTAATGATATTTTGTTCAGGCCGAGTGAGTTTGTACAATACTGGGCCAAAACTGTCAAGTTTATTCCTAGCTCAAGTTCCGGTTCCGGCCAGGTAGTTTCGGCCAGTTCCGGTTCCGACCGGAACTTAAAAAGTTGGATCTGGTGCACCGCTAGCCGTAAAGTACTGTTACATCAAAAACATCACATACACATACAATTATAAATGAAACTACGAAATGCTATTTGTGTTTTTTTAATTTCTGCCAACAAAAATGTTTGCGACATCCCCCTTCACGATAGATCAGAGGCTAGATCAACTAAACGATAAACAATGGTGGGCAGACCAGTTCAATTCAGTGCATCGGAAAGAAAACAAAGGAGAAAAAAGCAGAAAGAAGATTATATGAGAAACACCCTCTTACGTTTACAAGGAATTTCCATGGCTGCCACAATAATTTTACCAATGCCTCGTTTACCGCAGATGTTCGCTATATCGGCTAGCTGCGTCTGGGCGCCACGCAAGAGTTTCGAATTAATGGCGGTTGTGTTTGTGTCGAGCGTTTGGTTACATCAAATGCACCGGCAAATTAGGGAGTATAAAGAAGGTATATAAGCATGAAAAGTAAACAGAAACACTAATTGTATTTTCACCTGACTCAAGACGGTCGCTATGCGTAATTACCGTTTTCGATGTCAACCAGCAAATTCCGGGGGCAGGGCGGCCCGGCCGGCCCCGACCCAGCGCCCTAAGTCTCCCTATCTTGGAACCCAGCCCCATAGTCTACTTTTTTCACTACTCTGTTTACAGCACTGTTTTGTTTTAATACCTGCCTCCTAACGTCACGAATTTCCTAGCACCGCAAGTAGTATATTTTGTGTGTTATTTGCTACAGAAATAAAACCCAAAATCGTA